CTAAGCCCTAAACCCTGAACCCTAAACCCTAATCCCCCCCCATATTGCCCTTTCGCCTGGAGCCAGTTGTCTCGGCCAGCTCCTCCGGCATGAGAAGCGGGTTCAAGCGCCGATAGAAGGAGGTACCTGGCAGCTGCACTCGCTCTTGAGAAGAAGGTTCCTTCTTTCCTTCCTGCACAGCTAAGGGTTTAGGGTTTAGGGTTTAGGGTTTAGGGTTTAGGGTTTAGGGTTTAGGGTTTAGGGTTTAGGGTTTAGGGTTTAGGGTTTAGGGTTTAGGGTTTAGGGTTTAGGGTTTAGGGTTTAGGGTTTGGGGTTTAGAGGTCGCAGTGGACAGGAAGGGACTCATGAGCAAGTCCGAAGTGCAAACTTCAGAGTCCTGTACTTGAAGGTTCATGGTACCAGTAAGTAATAACTGTACTTATAACCCTACTTATAATTGGGATAACCCTATAAGGCCCTTTAGGGGTATTATAAGTAGGGTTATAAGTACAGTTATTATAACTGGTTAGTAAGTACCATGAACCTTCAAGTAACGCGAATGTACTCCTCGCACGGTTGATTTGTGGGAGGCCTGGGGTAACTTCGCATTGGCAATGCTTGCCACCGTCCCCGGGAATGAGGTCCCCGAGCTTGTCCTCAAACTCACGGCAGCGCTCGAAACGCAAATTAGAGCGAATGGTCATCGAAGCTACGAGCATCTTCACACTTTCCGGCGCAGTGTGCAGCCGTTCGTACACTGAGCTGGCAAACCGGGGCCTAGCATCATCAAGCAGTATGCCCCTGGCCCCAGATACGATTCTACAAGCCGTCGCAAACCATCTTTGCAGACAGGGTGCGATGCTGCATATCACCTTCTGGATTTGTTGATCCTGTTGGGATCGACAAAGTCGGCCACAAGACTAAGCAAAAAGACACACCCCGCCGCTTCTCGTGCCCCACCTTCGGCATCTCAATGACCTTCCACTTGTCTCCGTTGCCCCACTTCACCCGGCCTGATGAAAGCATGGGGCGTTGCCGATTTGAGGAGACATGGCAACGCATCGTGCTCGTGATTTGGGAATTTAACTATTGCATGCTGCCCTGTCTGTGGTAGCTCGCGCTTCCGTTACGCTCACAAATTCGATGCTCTTAATCATTCCGAAGCGTCTCCGGCTCCCAGAGACATGTCGGGTCAGCAGCAGGGCTACAGGGACACACGACACCGGGCCATGCCTCCACATACACATTCCTGCCACTGCCCACTGCAGTAGATCCAAGTAGGATCGCCCTGCCACTAACAGTTCGCTTTGGAAGCCACGAGGTGTGATGAGTATTGCCTGCAAGCAAGACATGTCGATCCAGCCTTGGGAGATTCCTGAGGCTCAACTTCAACTGGCGGTAGTGTTGTCGCCTGTGTCAAAAAACAAGGCTACGATGGCTGGTTGCACGGGTACGCAAGCACAGGAACGCAGGGAGGATCGCCGCCGTTCACTGAGACCCTCTCCCTCATGGCACTCGCAATTCAGCGCATGACTTGTTGCCTGGACAGCAGGCGGTTCCTCGTTCAGCTGGCGCATCACCTCGTTTCGGGAAGCCTCAGACGAGGTGAAGAGGTGCCCATATAGGGGACAGACATACGGTGAGCTTGGCAAATTCACGTGAAACCGAGTCCAAGCATGATAACACGCCTGCCCGCCTGCAGCAAGTTAAACGAGATAACTGAGGTAGGGCATAACTACCACTCAGCAGATACGGGTGGTGCCTTCAAGGCCTGCATCTCCTTCGGCTTCTCTTTGTGGGCTGACTCTGCCGGCGGTGCCTCCTGGCCGCTTCGGGTCTGCATCAGGATCGGTATCGAAGTTGCCCGGGCCGCCCCGTCGTCCTTGGTTCGGCTGCCGGAACTCCGCTTGTCGAGGCCCTTCTTTCGTTTCCTGGCCGGAGGTTCTTGACAGGAGCCTAGGCTTGAACAAAAAAGAACCAAACCATCAACCGATAAAACCGAAACCCGCAGAGCTGAGGAAAATGTGCCAAGAAACCAACAATCAAACAATACTCAAAACAAACTCAAGACAAACGCCGAAAACTATTAGAGAGGAGCCAGCCGGAAACTCAAGAACAACCCAACAAACAAATCACAACCTCAGAAAAAAATCGAAAAGCATCCGCCGAAAACCTTCTGGCGGCAGGGTTGGCTCATTTTCTTGTTTGGTGACAACTGCTCGCGTGGGCAGAGTCCATCACAACCCTAACCCTAAACCCTATAAACCCTAAACCCCTGTAGGGCCTCTGAACGGAACCCTTTTGCATCGAGGTTGGTGCACCCGGTTTTGCGGAGCCATGCGGAGCCATCCTCTATAATTTCCCGGAACTATCCTGCAAACCCAGTTTGTTAGGGCAAGCTGTGATCACATTTTCTTCTTGGTGGAGGGCTTTTGGGATCAGGTCAGCTGCAGTCTGAGGCCCCCTGTGCCCTTTCCTGGCTCAAAACTCAGGCACGGCCGTATAAGTTTCAGGTTTGAAGGGCCGTGGCGCTAGACAGCTTCAGGCCTTTTGGCCGTGAAGTTTTCAGGGCTTAAGGGCCTTGGCTAGCCCAGGTTCTCCATCTTTAAATTTGCTTGGGCGGGTCCCGAAAAAAAAGCTTCTTTACAGCGGGTCCCAGAATGTCGGTGGGGGAGGGCGAGGGAGGGGGGAGGGGTAGAATGGGGGCCTCTAGTAAAGCGCGTGCTCTTTTTGCAACTGGGCTTGAGGACTAGCCAGATCCTTGCATCACGACCGTTCGTGTTAACCCAACTCTGTGCAGGTGCATGACTCGGCCAAAGAATGATCAACTGCCTTAAACCTTTTTACTAAAACCCTAAAACCCTAAAACCCCAAAAACCCCAACCCCCAAACCCCAAAACCCCCAAACCCTAAAACCCTAAAACCCCAAAACCCCAGAACCCCAAAACCCCAAAACCCCAAAAGCCCAAAAGCCCAAAACCCCAAAAGCCCAAAAGCCCAAAAGCCCAAAAGCCCAAAACCCCAAGCCCTAAAACCCTAAAACCCTAAAACCCTGAACCAACCAAAGCCAGGGCCGGTCCTGGGCCGGATGGGCTCCGTCGTCTCATCGGCTGCGCTTGCCGAAGACAACTCGACAGCAGATTTTTTCCAGGCGCGGATTGCCCGTGCTTGTGCTCAGAACAACAATATGTATATGTATATGTATATATATATACATATAAAAATGAAATATATACAAAATGTGTATATGTCTGATATGTATGTGTAGGTATGTATGTATATATATATATACATGTGTGTGTATGTATATGTATATATATATACACACATACATACGTGTGTGTGTGTGGACCATGCGCGCGGATGGACGCATGTTGCACAGCACTTTGCCCCACACGAGTGGAGCTTTGATGCAATCTCTTCGCCATCCCGGCGTTGTCAAGCACTATGGGGGATTCTGGGCTCACAAAAGTGATACGAATATTGGAATGTTACAACATATATAGAAATAATATAGAGCATAAGTTTACCCGTGTGTACATACTTTATGTATAGAGAGTGAATGGTCAGTTTTGTTCTCTCTGTATGTAAATTACATATATATATATATATGTATGTATGTGAGTTCGCGCGCGTGTGTGTGTGTGATATATTTAATTATTGTGCATTTCATAGCATTGCCAGTGCCTGAAGCCGCACAGACGCCACGGCCGCAGTCGCAGCGAGCGTGGTGACTGCTGCCAGTGCCCACACAGCAGTACCTCCAAGCTCATCACGCGCTCGTACAAATTAGAGTGCGAGCGGGAAAACTCCAATTCTAGGATGGTAAATTGAGGGCTTCTTGATGCAAGCTCAAAGTCTTCATGCTCAGGGTCTTCAGGTGAGCCAGAGACACCTTTGTGCATGGCCACTGCCAAAGGTGGTAGAATGTGAGGTCATGGAATGACTTATTGCAACAGCACTACATAGCAGCATTCGCCTGCAGGTAACATGCACGCATGCAGCGGTGCGCAAGGTTGGGTTGATGCGTCGGTGCGCCGGCCCTGGGGTTCATGCACAAGCAGCAGTTCATCCCAGTCGGAGCGGAATAGCCAACCAGTTGACAAGTTCGATGTTCATCCACCAGAACTGGCACAGCAACCTGTTTTACCCCAAAAAGGTGATATGCAGTGAAAGCACGAAGTACTCGGCACTGAATCAAGCACTCATTGTTCAGTGGGAATAGTGGCAAGGTCCAAGACCATTTGTGAAAGCTTGCACCCGGATCGGGGGGGGGGGGGGGGAGGTTCTAACAAGTCCAACTGTAGTAGACTTGGCCTTGGCTAAGCACATTAGATGTTGTATACAAATATAGTATTAGCATGACCTATGTGTACAAATATATATATATATATATATATATCAGAGTAGATTTTTAATATATTAATTACACTATATAAGCTAATGCCAGCCTGCCCCACGCTTCTTAGCTCCCTTCGACGGCATGGCAAGGAGAGGAGCATGATGCAACTGACGCTTTTGAAAGCTGAGGATGGATCAGGGTGTAGGGTTAGTTTTAAGTCTTTTTGTGCGGTTTGTTTAGGGTTAGGGTTTATAGAGTTTAGGGTTTAAGGGTTTAGGGTTTAATCAGGGTTTAGAGGAATGATGCGATGTGCCCGTGCACTTGGACGAACCTTCCTTATGGCCATCTCAGTGAGCCAGAATGCCAACAGCGCCTCAGGAAGCCAATCTCAAGCCAAATCTCAAAAGAAGCCCTTGCTTCCCAGCCAACAGAAATACCAGTAAATCATGCTCGCCAAATAATACTCGCCAAACATGTGCGTACCAGGACATAGCACTAGCCAAATACGACTAGTAGATAAAACTAGTAAATAATACTAGCCAAAGAATGCCAGTAAATGATTCTAGTAAATAAGACTAGCCAACAAATACTAGTACATTAAAACTAGTCGTGACAATCCTGCGGTACTCCTGCAGGGCTTTGGTCGAAAGTGGTAATTGCTAGACCCAGATCCACAGGCCTCCTTGTTGCGGGCGCTCCTGGGAATGAGGTGCGCAGTTTCACTCCCCGGCCTAGCTCTGCAGTTTTAGGGTTGAGAGTTTGAGGCTTGGGGTTTGTAGGGTTTACAATGTAAACCCATGTCATTGGGTTTTTCGGTACATAATGACATAGGTACCACCCCGCCTCTTCCCACTCCCTGAAGCAAATGCAACGTTGCCCCCGAGATGTCTAATCCCACAACGGCCGGCAGCAATGGGAGTCCTTGGAGTTGCAACGAGCAGGTCGCGCCCGAACAGGTCGCGAGGGCGCCCAGCACCCAATCTGAATCAAGGCAGATAGAAGAGCTGAACTATGTTGAAACGATGGAAGATGATTACAGGAAGATCTTGCATCTGTAAGCATGGCTGCGATCCACCTGGGGTGGTGTACCCCAGACGGGATCTACCGCTTGTCCAACGCAGACGTTGTCGCATTACAGCGGTATCACACAAGATGTGTGTGCACCGAGCCTGGTCTTGATCTAGGAGAACCAGACAGATCTGAAAAGTCAGTCCCCACACATTCAGGGTTTCAATGGCTTCGGTGATTCTATCTGGCCACCCCTGTTGCAGTGCAAAACCAAGTTACCGGACCTTACGATGCCCAAAATCCTACAGATCCTTGTCGTCGTTTATCCCATGTCCATGTACTAGCTGACCCACCCTCCGGGTCACTCCTTATTGAACCGCGGTACACATGGCTGCAAACAACCCCGCTCTGCAAATTATGGTCGCGGATGGCAATGCCTGTATGCTCGGGAGAACCTTCCCCTTTAGGAAGCCAGTGGTACCGTACCCAGAGCACCAACACCAACCGTATGGCACTTTTTTGCTGTAGCACGGCTGGCACACGTTCGCCACGCGAAACCAGCTACGGACGCAGAAGTTGCTCTCCGCGTTCTGCGGAATCGCAGGCCATCGCCTGCACCGAATGCCAAGTACTTGCGCGACTTGCCCCGCAACAACCAGCAATGCAAGCCATTGCGTGCCAAATGTTAGCCAACTTCCTCATCCTTTGGAATTGCGACCACTCGAACTTGCTGCAGACAATAAACATTGGGCTTGGAGCATTTTACCCAACACAACCACACCGTCCGTCGGTGAAGCGAAGTGCGATCGAGTCCGCTGCTACGTCTGCACCTCCAGGTATGGGTAGAGAGACCGACATTAAGTCGTCCTCCCCGAAGTTCCAGGAAATCTCCTTCGCCTGCATTCCACGACCCACTCGCAGTTCTAGAGGCTCCGCAGCATCATCGCATCCCAGGGAGAATGGGGACATGAGCACCGCAGGAGTCAGTCTGCCTGCCACCTCCTTCGCCAATGGACGAGGATCCTTGGGCCGATGGTCCTGCCAGATATTGACCAGCAGGGTAGTGCGTGATGGCTTCCTTCGCTTAGATTTCGCACGACCCTGGTCATCCGCCGGCGCAGTGCGGAAAATCTCCCGTAGCTGCGCAGGAGCGGCGTGCAGCAGCCGTCCATCAAAGCAAATGTGCTTTCCGGGAACTGGAAGGCTCAGATGGGCGGTTGCTACCATAGCACCATGTCCTGCAAGAAGTTCAGCCTCGAAACAATCTTCCAGGACCGCAGTGGGTGCAACACTGCCGCCAGCCTCAAGGTAGGTCACGGTACCCAGAAGAGGATGCCGCACGTCTCCCCGCTCTCGAGCTTCGTAGTCAGCGTCCCAGTGCCAGCCGACGTCATCATCCTTAGCCGTCCGGACGGGTGTCTTTACATCGGTGCCTTTGTAATTTTCACTGCCTTGACCCCAAGTACCCTGTAGAGTCTGGAAGCAGCTTCACTGGGAATGCCGAAGACATCAGCTGAGCATCTTCGCCATCCAGCCACAGAGTCCACCATTCGCTGCCCAGCACCTCGAGCCCCAGCCTTTGCTGGTGCCACGCAGAAATTTCGGCAACCAGCCTCAAGCATCCAAACAGGGACAACTGGAGAATTGGGTGACAGGGCCATCTACAGGAGGCGGAATTGTTGAAGTCAAAGCCAGATGGTCCAGCCTCCCAGCATTTAGATAAGCTTCCGGCCCATGTTGAGCGGAAGTGGGGGTTCAAGGACGGCTTTCAAGCTCGTTCTGGGGATTCTGGGTGTGGGCACGTACACATCACCCGCCATAAATCACAAGCACAGCCTTGCTGACTGATTGTTCAACACCGGCCAAACTATGCCCTAAAGCTGCCTCCTACGCTCCTACGCACGTTAAGCACTCTAGGCACCACAACAACACCAACACACACACACACACACACACACACACACACACACACACACACACACACACACACACACACACGCACGCACTGCACTGTGCTATCGACACGCATGCACCACGCCACATCACGCACTGCACCACGCAACGCAATCAACGCACGACGCACGCACGCAACGGACTGCACGCATTCGCACGCACGCACTCCGCACCACCGCGTACGGCACGGCACGCACGCGCATCTACCCGCACCACACAAGCCCGCACCCGCATCTCCGCCCGCGACACCACCCATCGCGCACTGTCCGCACGCGCACACCCACGCGCACACCGCAAGCCACCCTAACGCGACACCGCAACGCTTCGCCCCGCTACCGCGCACCCGCCGCGCACTTCCGCACCGCACAGTCCTGCACGCCACACACACACACACACACACACACACACACACACACACACACACACACACACACACACACACACACACACAGACACACACACCCACCACACATCGCACACACCACACACACCACACACACAACACACACCACACACACCACACACACACCACACACGCCACACACACACACACACACCACACACACACACACCACACATCGCACACACCACACACACCACACACACCACACACACACACACACACACACACACACACACACATCACAGATGCCCTCAAGAAGCATGGAGCCCGGAAAACCCTGAAAACCCTAAACAATAAGAGCACCACGAAGCTGTTCCAGGGCGCAGCGGGGCTCAGTGCCAGCCGAGAGCCAATACGTGTGCCCGGCGCTCTCCGAGTCCTCCTCCGCACGGCTCCCACCAGGAGTTAAGCTCAAACTATAGTCCCCTGCTACCCTAAACCCTTTTGGTGCAGGGTTTAGGGTGTAAGGTTTAGGGTTTAACTACCCTTTTTGAACCCAGACTCTTTACGTCAGCTGGTTCGAGACTACCCAGGGTACACCCTAAACCCTAATCCCTAAACCCGAACATTCTTTTTGCACCCGGACGTGGGTAGTCGGCCGGGAATGGAAGTTGCGGCTCTCAATGCGACAAGGCCAGTGCCGAGAAACATGTTCAACTGTGAGGACTATGTGAAACTCTTCAATGAGGAGATGATGCAAAGATTCAATCAAGGGTGCAAGGGCGTCCTAGATGACGGCCTCCGAAGTAAAAAACTACAGCCAACACAGGGTTGGCCATGCGAAAGTGCCGCATGAAGCGGCAGATTCCACCAAGGAAATCCTCGTGAAGCTAGCAGCTACCACTCCCTTGGTAGCTCCTTGAACCCGAAACCCTAAATCCTTGTGCTTCAGGGTGTCGGGAACCTCATTGCCAAACTGACATCTTAGTGGCAGAAACTTGTGGCAAACCTCAAAAACCGCACCTGTAGACGAAGTCCCGCGGAGTACTAGGAAGGCGGAGGGTCCATGCTTTGAACATCATGGAGCCCTCAGCCTCTTGCTTACTTTACGCGCTCACTTCGTTACGAATGAAGGCTGCTTGTTGGGATGCTCCTCCTTCTACGAAACAAGTCCTTAAAAGGGATTCTAATAGGGGGTACTAGAATCCCTATTCGGGACTGTTAGATCTGAAGCATTCTGAAGCGCACTCCCTGGTCTGAAGGGAGAGCGCTTGGACAACATGGGGGTTTCCGAAAAATAGTGGTACCTTTCTGAGGTCCTGATTATAAAAGGAATCCTACGATTTGGGGGACACGGGGGGACCACAAGGAGCGAGAGCACCAGGGCCTTGGCGACGCCGCGGGCGCTGAAGACGCGGCGGCAGTCATCCACCAGATCAGCTCCTCAGGCTTGACTGCCAGAAGTGCATCCTGTGACAGGTGCCTTAGACCCTAACAACCTCCTAAACACCCTAGAAACCTGCTAATCCCTTGTTTGGCAAAGTGTTTTACGCGTCCCCATGGCAGGGAAGTCTGCGCCACGTGTGGCGGGGCTGGGCTCAAGGTCAGCTTTCGGAACTGTCGGCTTTCAACTCCCGGAAGGCCACGCTTGGCGAGCAGTCCGTTCTAACAGTAGGGTCCTATATCATCCCTCCCAAGCCATATAAGGCATTCTCCCATCCCCCCTCCACGGGTCGAGAAGAAGCATTCCCAGGAAAAGGATTCTTAAACATCCCTAGATCATAACCTTTCTCACTCAAGTTTGGCTTTGGCAGAGCCCCGCCGTGCTGGCACGCAATCTTTGCACTTCGGAATGTTCTGACCGTCCGGCTGATCTAGAAAATAGTCCAGACTAGAGCCCAGGATGGACTGAAATGTTAAGGGGTCTTATGGGGTATGGGTTACTGCACAGCTGGGCACATCTTCCCAAGGCGCTGACGTGAGCGCTCAGATGGAAAGCGCAAGCGCTCAGGGAAGCTCTCGAAGCTCGGCAGCATTGCTCTGCTTTGAAACTCTTGGCAGCTTGCCCAGGCTGGGAAAGTGATGACGAGTTCGGCTGCAATCTTGTATTGAGACTTTGGACCTTTGAACTGCTGGGAGTCGTAGACAGGTCATTTCGAAGCGGCACTCTCCTACTCGTGGAAACAATCTGCTCCAATGGCGGCAGCAGATACCAGTTTTTGTGTAATTCTGATTATGGCCCTTGATAGGGATCCTATGACAATATGGAGCCTTCTTTATTGTTATTCTATATATATATATGTAGAGTAATACACAAATACATGAATGTATGTATATATATATATATGCATAGACACACATGTAATAGGTGGAAAAGCAACCTTTTAAAACAACTTCTCTTAGAGCCAAGCCTGAACCCATCACACACAGTGTATGCGACTAATAATAATAGTAATAAGGAATATGATATTAACAAAAATAATAGTAGTAAAAATAATCACAATCATAGTAATAGTGATATTCTAGCAGGCCTACCATCCTGAAAGTCATGACTCAGGCTGAGGAGGAGGGAGTTACAACACTTGCCTTTCATCGCGAGGCGAGTCGACTCCTCAACCTCCCGAAGCTCCATATCCCCAAGGGTTTAGGGTCAAGGGTAAGGGTTTAGGGTTTAGGGTTTAGGGTTTAGGGTTTAGGGTTTAGGGTTTAGGGTTTAGGGTTTAGGGTTTAGGGTTTAGGGTTTAGGGTTTGGGGTTTGGGGTTTGGGGTTTGGGGTTTGGGGTTTGGGGTTTGGGGTTTAGGGTTTAGGGTTTAGGGTATATCCCCAAACCTCAGCCAAGCCCGCGGACATGCTGCCTCAAGCGCTGGGATGGCCCTCGCACTTCTTGGCCACTTCTTGCTGTATTCTCCTGCCAACCAAAGGGGGCCCCAAGCTCAAGAGTTGTCTTCGGAGAGATAGCCCCGGCAGTAACCGAGGGAACAAGAACGAAATGGGCTAGGTCTGGTCTGGGTAAGATTAATGGGGCTTCGACACATCTGGCAAGTCGTGTCCAGTGCTATGACGCACGCCAGGCTTTTTCGACACGACCAGCGCATGGTCTCAGCCCATGTGTCCATCTCAACCTCACCAGGGCGGGGCCTAAAATCCTTTAGCATTGCAGTTTGCAGAGGAATCCGGTCAACATCTCGAGCATGCGCACTTCGGAGTATGATTCTGGGAGAATTCTGGGAGAATCCGGGGACTTCGTCGTAAGAAAGTTCTCCTACTTAAGAACCTATCATGGCTGCTTCCTGACTAAGTCGTCAGCTTTGCAATTCTCTCAGCTATGGACTCTGCACTTCAGCGGAAAATCCGGTTGGGCCTTCAGCGACACCCCGGGGAGAAGTCCTCGGAACAAGCTTGGTCACACCCGACGGGACTTGAAGCCAGAGCTGTGCTCTTTAGGGTTTAGGGTCTAGGGTTTAGGGTTTAGGGTTTGGCATCTCTCTGCGTTGCAAAGGCTTTCGGGCTACGGCCTGCGAACTTCTGAGCGATGTGAGGGCTGCTTCTGAGGTCCGCTCTTTCCTTTTTGAGCCTCACTCCTGAACCTTGTGCTGGAGGCTTGGGGCTCACCCCTTTCAAAACCCAAATGTTCTGCCCTCCCAACTTCCTAGAAGCCTCTGTCCTCCCAACTTCCTAGAAGTCTCAGACATGCAAGCCACACAAGTCACCCGGACAAAAACAGATCCGAGAGGCGGCGGAACTGGCAGCAGACCGCGAGGCAGGAAATGCAGAGAGTGTGACTTGCATACAGCCGCACAGCGCCGAAGGTTGTGGTCATCCAATCAGCGGCGCGCTCCTTCTCAATGCATCCACAGCAACTCTGCTCCAAAGCAGAACCCATGCGCAGTCATGTGCATCCCACAAAGCCCTTTATACAGGAATCTGCCTTAAACCATACAAAGATCCTTGATATGATTTCAGGTGTAATGTATTCCCTATGTGAAAGGTATTAGGTTTTGTGGGAAAGTCTCCTGACCATTTGGCCTCGAAGGGCGGTTCTTGCTGGCTGCGCTTGCCGCCACGGACAGCAAAGCCATCCGCTCGGCATGCTGTGACCTCACATGGCAGCCACAGAGTCGAATCTTCGCGGCTTGTGTAACTCAGCGGCGGCTTCTTTTAAAATACGACACGGCAATGTGCAACTTAAACTCACCTTTGGCAAGTGAAAACCGGGGATTACAGCAAATGCTAGTGCCGAGGACCCTCACCTACTACTTGCCTACTATGCACGCGCTGCTTCTGCACCTTCTGCGGTGCACGCCTCTGTACCACACGCATTGGTTCTGCTGCATTTGGCATTCATTCCATGGAGGCCAGTGACAAAGCACGACCTCTGCTGCACCCCTGCTTCAGTCCCGTGAACTGCTTTCGTCCGAGCTCTACCGGCCTCTGTGCTACATGTATCCCCTGCGTATGTCTTCGAACTTCAACCCCTAACACCTGAATCCTTGCTCTGCGTTGGCCGTACAGCGCTCCTCACCAAGTAATCAGGGCTGACGCTGCTTGCACGACCTATGGCATGCCTAGGCCTCCTCGCATGTGCTCTTGGTCACACAAGCTTGCGAGCCAGTATTGCAATTTCGGCACAGCCACACGCTTGAAGTGTGAACTGGAACTGAAGAACATGTGTAAGAAAGAGGCCGGGTCAACCAAGCTCGACAAACCGTCTAAGCATAAGTCGTTGATGAGCAGGCGAAGTTCAGAGCCCTGACAGGAGCGGCTGACAAACCTCACCCTGACAAGTGAGCCTCTGGCACCAGAGTTACAAGCCCTGCACCACTAAACTGGGCCAGAGCACCGGTCGTGCTCCCGGAAGACTGGAAGCAAACGCTGTTCCAAGGCGGAGCTACCAGCATCCTCGCAAGCCAAGCGATGCCCAATTTATCGCCATGAGGCTCAGTGTAGACACGCGATTAGCCACAACGGACAAACTAGAGGAACGCGACACAAGCCAACCGACGTCACTGGAAGTCTACCAAGAGCCAAAGGCGTGAAAAAGGCCGAGTCGACATGGCCTTCGCCCAGTCGGCACCGAACGCCACGCAGCGGCCCGGGATCTGATTGCCGTTGTGGAAGCCTGTAAAACGCATGCACTGAGACACTGAGCAAGCCCCTTCTTGCCATGTCTTCCGAAACAAGTCCACAACTGCTAACTGCAGTGAGCACATTCAGGCGGCGGTGGCTTTCGTGCTCGAGATTAACGAAGTGCTGAACCCGACACAGATCACAACACTCAACAGGCCAGCTTTGCACGTTGCCCTTTAGCGTTCTACACGAGTCAAGCAAGAGTGGCCCGAAGCAGCATGTGCAGCAGGCACCTGATGCGGCCACATTGACAGCCAACCAGGCAACAATGCACTGGCTGCTGACATCGAGGTCCTGGTGCAGTGCTTACAGCGCATCTGTAAGCACGGCCGTTTCATTGTAGTCTTTCAAAGAGCTGATACCCCGATCTGAAAAAACCAGCTTGAACATACCCCGACAGTAGAGCAACCAGAAGTGTCCTGGTCCTCGTCTGGCAGCGCTTCGTGCAGTTCGCGGCGAGACGCGCGCCGGGCAAAGCCGCGCCAGGTCCCAGAAGAAGCGAGCTTGAGGGAGCCTGCCAAGACCTCGTTTCAGGGCTGAGGGCTGCGAAATGGGTTGCAGGTTCATCTCGCCCAAGGCAGGTATTAGAGCAGTGCCCCAGCACGCCATCCGACGCACCTCACCACTACAACTACCCCCGCACACCCCACTGATTCGAAAGCGCTATACAATGCCCGCCAAGCCTTGCATCACTCTTACATCTAAAGTTTTTTGTCACCAGACTCTGGGATTTGAGGTGTCTGAACCTGCTTGCCTCGGTCGTGCAGGCGGCGCCTGCATGGCGAGCGGTTTTGTTCGGACTTTGTCAAAATTTGATGCGGGATTGTGTGGGTTTGCATTGTTTACTCTGCCAGGCAAGGCAAAGGCACGAATCAGAGCGTTGGCGAAGATTGCGAGTTGCGTCATGTTGCGCACACCAAGTGCGCTCTTGGCAGAACATTTCCAGACGAATCCTAAGCCGCCACAAGCTCGCCAGGCCCTCAGTCCACCCTCCAGTTGGAGACAAACGTAGGTCTGCCCGAGGTAGCCACAAAATTCACGGCCTCCAGGCGAAACCGCCATGAAAACTTTCTACCGGGGCAGCCTAGGCTTGGCTGCAACTCGAGCAGCGGCTCGTGCAGGCGCCAAGTGCCTGCTCAAGGTGCTGAGCAACACATCGAGCAGACAAGGGGTCGCGGGTCGGTATTATACGACCCACCTTGCAACTCCAGAGATTCCTTGTTAACACACCCTGTGCGCGGGTCGCTGTACTGGCCGGGTAATTGAGGGCACCTTACTACATTAGCAATATGAATAATACCAATAAGTAAAACTGTCTTCACAAAGAAGCATCCAACTACAAGACCATCAGTGACCGGCTGGACGCTGCTCCCCTAAACCCTAAACCCTAAACCCTAAACCCTAAACCCTAAACCCTAAACCCTAAACCCTAAACCCTAAACCCTAAACCCTAAACCCTAAGCCCTAAACGACTAGCCTTGCTCTCGGTCTGAGCCAGGATCTGGCACGACGCCCATTTGTGGCCGCTGGCGCACTCCTGAACAAGTAATGATCAATCATGACGCTAGTTGGCTATTACACGAAAAATGCATAAGAATAGCAATGGCAGTAGCAATGGCAATATTAACAGCAACCAATCATCAGAACAAAAAATGTAACCATAAATGCAAGTCACAACTGTTTCCGTGCTAAGTAATTACGAATATCCATGCTCATACCAGTATCAATACGCACTCGTAGTAAAACCGAACATACTTTGCAGAATATATTGAGTTCTCAAAATTATGGATCCCTTTTTGGGTACCCTAAACAAGAGGGGCCGCCTTGCCTTCTAACGAGGACCCCCAAAATAGCTATACTTTTAGAGTCATTTTAGAGAAGTGACCATATATTGAATCTCTCGCAACGATGCTTTGAAAGAGTGCAGAACGGGAGAAACCCTAAACCCTAAACCCTAAACCCCCCGCCCACCAAACCTGCCAAGGCCATCAGCCGGCCGCGGGCTGCAGCTGTACGCCGCCCCAGGCAGGCCCGAACAGCGGCCGTCAGCTGTCCGGACCTTTTAGTTTCAGGGTTTAGGGTTTGGGGTTTGGGGTTCGGGGTTATAGGGGTTGCAAAAGGAAATTGTCTTGTACTTGATAACTTTTTCATTGCTTGTCTAGTTTAATTTACATAATCTGAATACTTCTTCGTATTCCTGAAAGAGTGCCAGAGAAATGCTTCGCCGTGCCTCGAGCCCTCAGCCGCAGTGCCTCCAAACACCGACCCATCACCCCAACAAAGCCCAAGGCGCTCAAGCAGCTCGTCGGCGCTGCCAAAGGCCTGCAGGGGTTGAGCACATTATAGCAAGTATTAATATATATATATATATATTATATTATAATATATATACATATATATATATATATTATATTATATAATATATATATATATTATATTATATTATAATATATTATATATATATACATTATATATATATAGATATGTGTATATATATATATATATTCATATTTACATTTATGTCAGACTGTCAAGAACGGAACAAGATGGGGGCAGCTTAAGGGCTCAAAAGACAAACCAAATGCCGCAACATGCACGATGCTCCGCATCGCATGTGAGGGCCTGATCGAGGCCTGCGCCCCCTTCCACTGCCCTGCAAAGCCGCTTCCGCAGTTCGGCGCACAAAGCCACACCAGCCACGGTACCCTCACAGGCCTGCGCAGAGGCCGCAATGCTTCAATGCTTCAACTGGGATGTTCCCCTTATACTAACAGTCCTCAAATAGGGATTATAGTACCTCCATGATACTCCCTATGAAAGCACTGTTAGTATAAGGGGGAACATCCCAAGCTTAAACAATATTTGGCTGTGTGAAGCTGCTTGTCAGCATTCTGGCTCTGACTAGAGCAGCAGGTGCATACCATCGAGCAGGTTGCCCGGAATGAGCGAGAGAGGTCGGGAGGAATGAAGCGTGTGGCATGGCGTGAACACACCGTGTACATTCACAGGTGTGGAGGGCAGCTCTGCAGGGATGACTGAGTTTTCGATGAGGCAAGGGGCTTGTGTCAGTGTTGTGCCCTTCGAAGGACCAACTGTGACGTCTCGGGTTTACACTCTCTATGACTGGCATGGGTTTACGAAAACGGGGGGACCCACCCCAAAAAATAAACCCCCAAATAGTAGGATCCCGTTGTACTAAGGACCCCAATAAGGTACCCCGAAGATCGTAAACCCCCCACCCTAAACCCTAAACCCTAAACCCAAAACCCTAAACCCCCACATGTATTTTCGAGACCGGCCTCTGGTTGAGTGCACTTTTCGAGCCATTCGTTCAACCATCTCAGTGTCATTACAACATGTGCCGAGACTCCGGGGTTTACGACATTTAGGGTACCTTCTGGGGGCCCTTATCATAAGGGGATCCTACTATGTGGGGGGTCTATACTAGTAGGGGTCCCTTATCTGCGTAAAAGCCCCCAACGCGACGAACAGCAACGAACAAGCTTCGCAATTTTGCAAACCCCGGGCCTGGATGGCGAAGCGGCAACTTGCAAGATCTTCGCCGATGGGCTCCTGGGCCGTGCGTGACTTAGTAGCCCAGTAGCCATATTATAACAATGATAAGGGAACCCAGAACAAAAAAAAAGAAAGGGGTGCCACCGGGCTACCAAGGTGAGTCCTGGGCAGACAGGAAAGAAGGCACTCAGCCCTGGAGAATCCTAGCACGCCACCATGGCCGCCATGTGGACACTCAGGACCACTTAGTGGCAATATGCCCAAACTCAGCACGGGATCATCCAGCACGACCTTCGCAAACTGGCAGCAGCTACTGTAGATCGTTCTTGTCGGGCAAGGAGGTCATGATTCGGCAGATCGGGGACTTTGCAGCATCTTTTGGCTGCGAAGGCAGCACCGAGGCGCAAGTATCCTGAAATGTGCCTGTCGAATTGTCCAAGTGGCCTTAACTGGCCATGCAATTCGTCTAGCACAAATTCAATGATGCATGTCAACATGCATCTAAAAATCTGGCTCACCCTTGTCCGTCCGCAGCCTTCGATCCTGCGAGTCTTTGGCTGAAGTTGACTCGTCCAAACTCCCTGGACAAGCCACCCGAACAACAGCAAACTCATCCCCTCTGCTCGGTCCTGCTTGGCGAGGCTGTGCCACAACAGCGCGGCCTGAACGGTTCGGGATGAGGGGCCAAACGGACATGCGAGACTGACATCAACTTTCCGTGGGTTTTCAATGCTATGCTCAGCCCCTGAACTACGTACTGCAAGGCTTCCAATAGTGAGAGGACGTTACAGCAGAGAGAGGATGCAGCAGCGGGTTTTCTTCAAGGCAACCCAAGCCAAGAACCACGCGACGGGATTTCTTCCAGAGCCTGTGGTTGCCGATGGCATGCTTCTGAGTTGCCGAACTGGGCTTCCGAACCAGAACCGCACACACTAGATAGCCAGGAGTCCCGCAACATCCGGTGGCAATGAAGCTATCACTGCTATCACTTTGTGTCTCCGCTCCTGGCTGCTGTCGTTTAAAGGCCAGGGTGCCAACGATTGTGAACTGAAGCATGGACGGACTTACCATCATAGCCATGGACTTGAGGGTCGTACATTGCTTTGCGGCTATGAACAACTACTATTTGCTTAAGAACCCCAAGAGAATCTTAATAAGAAAGAATAGTTTTTTTCTGGGTTTAAGCAATTAATAGACAAGCAGCTCCCTGCCCTACTCCCAAGACTCGACTGTGTGGGAATCTTCCATGCTGGCCATGGCCAACAGGTCAGTCTTGCAGACTTCATTCATGGATTGGGCTGTTCCCCCTTATACTAACAGTCCTTAATAGGTTTACAGTACCCCCTCTTGTCATCCCTAGTAAGGACTCTTAAATAGCATAAGGGGGAACATCCTAAGGTATAGACCCTTGTGCCACCGGACTCGCTTGGCAGATGTAGCCGGCCAGGAGCCATCGTACACTTCGAAGGCTTTAGAGGTTGCATTAGAGTACATGTGGCGGGGAGATACTTAATATTGGGTTTAGGGTTTAGGGTTTAGGGTGCGGGGGGGGGGGGGCAGGGGGGCAGGGGGCTTCACTCGCAGGGGGGAGGGGCCTAAAAGCCCAAAAATACCCTAAACTCCAAACTTCCGAAACCCTAACCCCCCTTTTTTTTTTTGGGCTCCAGGTACCCTAAACCCTAAACCCTAAAGAACAAAAAAGCGCCCAAGCAAAGTTGGCCTCCTCCCAGAAGCCGCCGCGCCTCCCGGAGTCTTAATGGATTGAGTGGCGGCGTGGCATGGCATCATCTCTCTCTACTTACATATGTATCTCAAATTATGTGTATATATATATATAATATCACATATGCAGATTTTTATATCGGTATGTAAATAAATGAATAATTAAAAAAAAAAATATATATATATATTATATGCATATAAATATGACAGACATATATTACAGGGGCTCAGGGAAGTTGGCCGTTTTGGCGGGGAGGCCTGAAACCCCTAACTCAGGAAGCCCCTGCCCCCAATGCACGCACGTGCGGGGTATTGCAGCTGCCCCAAAACACAGCGGGTCTGTTGCGCCACGATGAGCATCCCCAAACAGAATCCTTAGCCACTAGCATGCTTCTTAGGCTGCTTTGCGTAGTCTACTTCAACCTTGGATCCTCGGCCTGCAAGCTGCGAGGGCGACCCCGATGAATTTTGCGTCGGCTGCCAGGTGAAGACTGCGCCTTGGCTGCTGCAGATTATGTAAAAAAAAACCTCCTCACGGTTGTGCCCGGGCAAGTGCGGAGACAAACTGACACAAGATACGATCAGGCCTCTGAAGGCTTTCAAGCTCTCAAACAAAGCGAGCAAGCACTCTCATGAGTCTTTCGTATCTTATCATATCTTGACTAGATCTCAAAGTATCGCCGAGTAGAGCTTGTTTTGGACAGGATCAGCGATGCCAACAGAACAAGGACTTGAGAAGGCAAGTCGAAAGAAGGACTGAGAAAGCAAGTCGTTGGCCTCAGTACTACTCGTTGCAAAAGTTGGGCTCTCCGATTTTTCCTCTGGCTTCACCGACACTCACTGACGCGATGGCCGATGAGTGATTTGATCCAGCAGAACTTGCTGCACTGCCATAAGCCAAATGTGCTGTTGTGCCAAGGAACGCCTCTTGCACGAGGTCCAGTGCCACGCGGCCTGCGGCTCCTTCACAGGTCATATCAATGGACGTCTGACAGAAAGATGCACAGCTAGATTGGCTGATGACTGCAGTTTGCCTTGGCTAGCTGCTACTTATCGTGGCAACATCCTCCCACAGCGCCTTGCTCACAGGCATGAACCGCGGCATTGTAACCTGAACCGCCGAGGCTGCTGCGAAGCACCGCACGGTCCGCACGACAGTGGCGTGTTGATTGGGGGGAGTTGACTGCAGCCTTGCAGCTGATAATGCTCGGCGTGACGCGGCAGCTCTGCATCCTCAGGTTGCCAGAGAAAACATCTGTTCTGTCACTCTTTCGGCCCAAATTGAATGCACCCTAGAATCGGGCCGGGTATCACTGAGTGTGGTGCTCTGAAAGCAGCTCCAGCGCCATTGGCCAGGGTGCAGCTGCTGCGGCCGCAAGGGTGGAACTGAAGGTAACGACCTGAAAGCTCGAGACTAGCTGTTCCAGCATGGTGAGCCCACCGCCTCCTTCACTCTACTTGGAGGTTCATGGTACACATTAACCAACTAAAACTGTACTTATAACTGTACTTATAACCATAGTAGGACACTTAAGGGGATTTTTTATGTGGGCTTTGCGTACAGGTATAATCGGTTAATATCCTCCATGTATGGATTCTGGCAAGGAGAGAGCCTACGTGCCAGCGCTGAAGCCACTACGCACAGGTCAAGGTGCAACATGTCTTTTGGGACCGGCGAACGCGGCATTGTGAGAATGACACAGCTCAACGTCGTAGATTTTAATAACTACGTGTATGCAAACATGTAATTCGTCCTTTCGAACATTGTACGCCATTGCGCGTTGCGCAGTATGTGCTTCCGAGTATCAGAAACGTACAACACGACTAAAATCACACTCAGTTCTCATAACGCCTTTTTAAATGGAATATGGGGGTTTACGAAAATAGGGGTACCTTATTATTGGCGTCCTTACTATAAGGGAACCCTACCATTTGGGGGTCTTTATAAGGGGTCCCCTATTGTCATAAATCCCCATATCTTGATATGACGAGAGGCGTTTGGCTGCACGCCGACTTGAAAGAGGAGCTGGTGCAGCTGCAGGGAAGATCGCCACGCAGACCCCTTCCTCCGAAGCTCTTCGGCTCTTCTCAATCTTTGGCAGACATGAAACCCTTTCCGCCCCACAAGGCCTAAACCCCAAACCCCTAAACCCCCAACCCTAGAAGCCCTAAACCCTAAACCCTAAACCCAAAACCCTAAACCCTAAACCCTAAACCCCCAACCCTAGAAGCCCTAATCCTGCCTAAGCCTGGTTTCTGGAACTGCTGGAGTGGCTTCGTGCTTCTCACAACCGAAGCCCTAAAGCACCCTTGAACAACCTCGAAGTTGCTCAAAGGGTTTAGGGTTTAGGGTTTAGGGTTTAGGGTTTAGGCTTTAGGCTTACCCTTGAACAACCCAACCAAATTGCTCAAGAAGGCTCTCACAAGCGGAGGAAGCTGCGGCGAAGGAGAAGGCATCCAGCTCCAGGCTCAGGGCCCTCCGTTGAAACATTGACATTCGGCTTGAGGTTGGAAGTGCCCACAGCAGGGCTTAGGGCTTAGGGCTTAGGGCTTAGGGTTTAGGGTTTAGGGTTTAGGGTCTAGGGTTTAGGGTTTAGGGTTTTATTTCTGCCACCTGCCAAGCAGTCCAGCCGCACCACAGGGTTTCAAACGTGTCACTACTGTGTCTGTTGTTTCTCGGGCCTTAGGGTTCAGGTGTATGGTTGAAGGTTTAGGGTTTAGGGCTTAGGGTTCAGGAACCGTGGAATGGAAACTACTGAACTGTCAACTGTTCAATTCGAAGGTGAATCTGGTGAATCTGCGCGGCTGCTCTGCCCACCGGCAGTGGCCTCATCTCGCGGAACAGCTCCAGCGCGGTGATCCACTGGCCACCTGTTACTATTCTTGGAATTCGTAGTTCAAGGAAGTCTTCCGACAGACTAGAAGTCGACAGCAGGATGCGAATGCAAGCTTGTGGCAAAGTTCTTTCTTTCAAGGAGTCCATGGCCCCAAACAGAAAAGCAACTGGAATTCTCCACGCAGTCGAAAGGTTTGAGATCTTTCGTGCGTGCCGCCGTGAACAACACTTATTATCATTGTCATGTTTCTGATTAGTTCTATTCGTATATATTATTATTGCACACACACACACCTCTTTCATCTTGCGAGCGTTGCCCACTTGCAACCTTGGGCAGTGGCCTTTCTCACAGGCGCTGATGGCTGCATTGTAGCAGTAGCCTTGCACCCGACACATCATCACAACAAGGTGATCCTTTTTAGGGTTAGGTTTTAGGGTAGACGCTGGATGCCAGACAACGAAGCCATGAAGTTGGATTGAAATTGCCTTTAAATTGGCGAACGCCAACTTGGCATTCTTGTAAAGACATACTTGGAGCTGAGCCCCTTGAAGCAACAAAAAGCCATGAGTAGACGCTGCCAATTCCAGGAAATGTGTAGGTATGTCGGCCATATAGCGATCGGGGCTAGAAACCCTGAGGTGGAAAAACGAAACCCAGGCAAAAACCCAAACTGAAAGTACTCTTAGAAGTCATCCCCCTGCACAAGTACTCTTCAAGAAGCAGGCCGGCAACATGAGCAGTTTATGAAGGCCGGAGAATTAATTTGGGAGATATTTTTGTTTGCTTTTGGGATTTTTTTTTGCCTTAGGGTTTAGGGGTAGGGTTTTTTTAGGGTTTTTTTAGGGTTTTTTAGTTTTTAGGGTTTAGGGGTTAGGGTTTTTAGGGTTTAGGGTTTTTTGGGGTTTAGTTAGGGTTTTTTAGGGTTTTTAGGGTTTAGGGTTTTTAGGGTTTTTTAGGGTGTAGGGTTTAGGGTTTTTTAGGGTTTTTTAGGGTGTAGGGTGTAGGGTTTAGGGTTTAGGGTTTAGGGTTTACCGGTAGCAAGGACAAAAAACAAAAAAAACTCCCAAAAAAAAACAAAAAAATCCTAAAAAAACATACCTCCGTTTATGAAAAGCAGAGAACCAAGTCGCACTTGCAGACTTACATGTCGATGGCGGACCTTCTTTTTTTCTCTCCCGCTTTAGCGCAATCTGTACTGAAAAGGCCATCAAAAATAGCACGGCCATTTCATCATGTGAAGCGGCCCGAATAATGTTAATGATGCGTGTTAGGTTGTTGGCGTCGTTACCTTGGGGGCAGGCTCCAAATTTCATGCCCGGATAATCTCACATGACCGCGTTTTCACGAAGCCAGCCCCGTAAAAGTCGCAACGGCTCATCGAACTTCAGCTGCAGCGCGTGCATGTGTACGCGATGCGGCGCTCGATTCTGACAGTTGCCACGACGCCAACGAAAAAAAGTGTCACGGTTGACAAAACGCCTGGCCCGTTCTCTGCTCTCGCTTGACGGGTCTGATTCCAAGTCCACCGAAGAAAGGCGCACAAAAAGTAAAATCAAAAGAGTCTGAGCATGTCTTTGAGTATGGCTACACGGAGATACGTTCCGTGATCCGCACACGAAGGTACTAATCAAAGTGATCTTATGGTTCGCCTGTGCTCCCAGGCCCTGGCAGATGTTGTAGTGAACGGGTGGCCGGTGCGAGCGCGATGCTGTTGCGGATCGAGCACCCTCTCACTGCTCAAAATAGTGGCAGGGCCAGCGACAGACACTTCGCGGAGGAACGCAAACATATAGGTCCAAAGTAGTGTGTCATATTTGTGCGATGTTGGATCTTCGCATTATTCGGGCCGCTAAGTGCGAAGATGTTGGGCCTCGTTGTGTACAACAAGCCAGAAAATGCTGCATGCACTAGTGCTTTAAGCATGTTTATGTTTGCTTTGGAGCGAACCATTCGACATATTGCCGCGAACATCTTTTCTCGAAACATGCTGCGCATGACGTGCACAAAAGCCAGAGCATGCTGTAAGTGTCGGTGTGTTTGCATGTTTGCAATACGGACATTGCCCTGAACATCCCTAAGCTCGACACCCCCGCGCCTTGCGCCAGGTTGAGGTGCGCCGCCTCACGAAGCAGCGCCACAGCGGCGGGCCACTGACGAGCCTGGAAGGCATTGGATCCACGGGGGGAGGGAGGGGGCTTGATCCAAAAGAAAAAATTTGCCACCCACATACCAGATCATACAAGATCATACAAGCAGAGGTTGTTGCACGGGCTTGGGGATGATCTCGACGGAAGCGCCTGATGCGTTTTGTGAGCGCACGTCAATCTGCAGACCTACCCGCCGCAAGCTCAGCTATTGACAGCTCTCTGGGCTTTGAGGTTTCTTAACCGCCTGTCATGCAGAAAAGAGGGTTTACCAGACGAAACTGTGACGAAACGCTCGGACAGCAAGGGCAGGGTGCACGGCAAAAAAGGGTGATGTCTGAATGGAGGTCGATGCCACCAGGGGAGCGCTGTGGCCGGCCCATGTAAAGTAGGTTTAGGGTTTAGGGTTAGGGTTTAGGGTTTTAGGGGCCCATGAAGAGCTCCCATGGTGGGAGTTCGGGCCGGAAAAAGGAGTGACTGTTGGTCTCGGCGTCTGCACGCGACCAGCGCCCGCCCACCCCAAGTGACAAAAGGATTCGTGGGGGCTTCAAAACTGAACTTGGAACCCTAGCAAAATTAAATTGTTTGCTGTTTCTTAGGAATCATAGTACCCAAAAATTAACAATTATTTCCAAGTACTCCGAAGGCTTAGTGTTTAGATGAGTTAGGTTCACGTCAGTGTGAGACACTGTCTCTGCTCAAGTCCAGACCCAAGATGTTCATGTTGCAATACTGTGCCACTACAGAGAAGCCAAAGACAACCACAGCCGTCATCGCCTGTCGGATTTTATGCGGCCATGTCAACTATCAAAACCGAGCGAGGCAGGACGAGGAGCTTTATCGCAAGCGCTGATTGCTGCAGAGTACGTCCTGCACGGCCATGACGACTCGCCGCAAGAGCACATTTGTTTAGGAACACTGAAAGCTCTCGCTTTGTACAGGCCTCACAAGCGATGCAGACCAGGGCGCTGGCTTCCAAGACGGAGGGAGCCAACGCATGCATGCAGCGGCCTGTCATGTTGCGATACCTTGCGGGGCCTTGGAAGGTACGAGTACTGTTGTAGAAGCAACCGCTTCTACGAATAATTGCTTGCTCCGTACGTGCTGCAAGTCACCAAATCCTAAAGGGTCCATGTACCCATGTAGTATATACTTGGGCCTCAAAGAGGCTCCTATACAGTAGCTTTAGGGCCCAAGAGACTATATGGGTACACGGAACCCCTAAACGGGTTCATGAACCCTTAGGGTATGTAACTAAGAAACACATCATGTCAGCGCTTGGTCCTCTCGTTTGGAGCAATAGTCTCCTCCTGCATGCCTGGGTCGCAATGGACTGTCGCATGTGCGAGGCTGCAAACAAACCATCGACAGATCAGCACGAAAGTACAAGAAGGGTGAATACTCCCAGCAGGGTGCCCTAAATACTCCCAGCAGGGTGCCCTAAATACTCCCAGTAGGGTGCCCTAAATACTCCCAATAGGGTGCCCTAAATACTCCCAGTAGGGGGGCCCAGGTCCTTCGTAAGAGATTTCATACCCGTCTAGCACAGGGACGCCGGAGGAGCTCTGCGGACACGCGCCACTGCCCACCTCCTTCAGGGCCACACGAGACAGCTTCCCGAAATGAGGGGCTCCATTTGGGTACCCTAAAGCTCGGCCTTTCCACAGGGACAGAACATTGGAGATGAGGTTGCAGGTTGCCTTCATTTGACGTAGCGGCAGCTGGACGAATATGACAAGCTGGTACAGGACTGACAGAAACCGGGCTTTTCTCACCTTGCCATCCCAGTTTTACCAACCTAAGCATGCCTAAACCGTCCTGAGCATGCAGCGACTGCCTGAGATTGACAGCACACACACACAAAACACATACGAACTTACCTATACCCGCAACATGCACATGTTTTTTCTTTATTGAAAGATGATAGGTATGCCGCAGCTAGTTGGTGTGACCTGACCGTATGTCTTCCGACACGCTGTGGCAATGTCAAAGCATCAAACTGCAGCTCTGCACATGACTTCAACAAACAAGTGCTGTGGAAAGGTATGGCCTGAAACATACGCCTGTAAAACTATATATATATATGCATACATATGCGTAAATTAGATTCCTATGCAGATGCAAAGTTTCGCTGGGCAGCTGCGCTGTAGCAGAAGACATCTGGAGGTACCGACCTGTCTCCAAGCTGAATTGAAAAACAGCCTTTCATGCTCCAGACGGTCTCAAAGCATTCTCATCTAAACCAGTTGCTTGCAAATAAACTCCCTCAGCCTTGTTGCCAAGCGGTCAAGAAGCGTAAACGCCTGCCATGCGGAGTGCACAAAGCAAGCGGAACAGGAGCCCGACAAGACAAGAACAGCAATCATCGGCCACAAGGGACAATCAGCAAACTCCATGGTCACACATGGGCTTTAGCAGGCCTGCTCCCATGGTGCCTTTCGCAGCACCACTGTGGCCTTGCGGAGAGCCTTGAAAGTACCTGTGGAACAGTGGTGGAACTAGAGGTGGGTTTGCCCCGTTGAGCTTTGAAGCAACAGAAACTTCACCGCATGCGCCAAGCTTGGCCCGGTACCTTGGTCGATGGCACCGTCAACCTCCGCCTGCAGCCCTCTCCAGGCATCCTTGATCTTGCGATGAGCGCCTCCTGTGTCATGTATGGCACCAAAGTCACGGAGAAGCATGAATATCTACTCGGATGCATCGTATTCTTGTGCCTGTGGCAGCTGTCTTTTGCACGTGCACGGACAATTGCTGCCCGCTCTGTTTTGAAGCAGATTTACTTTCATCTGTTGCATCACCAGAAGCAGCTGCAGTCACGCAAGCTTGCAGAATGCACGCCCTGAGGCCCACCCCCAATAACAGTAACCTCCCCTCCCCTGATATTAAAACCTCCCTGCCCCCTAACATTAAATATTAAATGCTCCCATTAGAGTTCTTAGAGTATATGGGGGGGGGGGGGGTATTTAATCTTAGGGCTTAGGGGGTAGAGGGGTGTTTTGATACTAGGGGGAGGGGATTGCGTGGCCTTCCGGGTGTCGAGAGGCTGCAGGCGTTGTCGAGCTGCGGACATCCATGCCATCACCCGTGGAAATCAACTGGGCTCTCGGACCGCAGCCATCTGGCCAAACAACGTACCAGCGAGACTTGAATACGTGTTCTTTGATCATCCCTAACCCTATCCACCGTTCCCTGCCACTCCAAAACATACATACTTTTGCAACGATCCTGAGCTAAAGGGTCTCTTCAAGAAGCCCCAACTTTTTTTAACAGCTGGCTTTGAGGATCCAGACCTTCCAGGAACCTTAAAGCCCCCTAGTCTGCAGAGCACTTTCTCGCGGTTCTCAGCAAGCTGGGAGCCCAAGTTGAAACCAGGTTCTGACTGAAACGGTTTGGGGTTTGGGGTTTGGGGTTTGGGGTTTGGGGTTTAGGGTTTAGGGTTTATATAAAGGGTTTAGGGTTTAGGGAAACTGCAGCGCACATACCGGACAAGGCAGAAACGCGCCTTTAAAGATAGCAGAAACCCACCTCACAAGCCAAACCCCTTGGTGTAGTGCTTGGGTTTCCTGGTGCTGAAGGTTGTATACCCGCTGCTTTTGCAGGCAAAGCCCAACCTTCTCCTGATTCTTTCTGTTCTGCAGGTGCTCATCGATCCTGGCATGACCAATGCTTAATCCCTGTTCCCCTAGGAAGAAAAAAGGATCCTTTTTGTTCATATATAAGAAAGCCCATAACCTAAAAAGCAAAAAGGATCCCTAACGCTGATCTAGAATGCCCTTCTAAGCAGAAACAGCAGCACTGCGCGACTTTCAGATCTCGGCTTCCTGCGCCAAACGTCGCCCTTGCGCGGGCGCCACAGGCTCCAAGAGCAAGCTGACACATGACCCCCCTCCACCCACCCCCCGCCTCCCCCCCTAAACCCTAAACCCTAAACCCTAAACCCTAAACCCTAAACCCTAAACCCTAAACCCTAAACCCTAAACCCTAAACCCCCCTAAACCCTAAATGCTGGTATAGTTCCGTAAGTTATTGGTTCTGGGCTCTCTCAAGGATAAGACAAGGCCAGGATGGCTCTTGGAAGATCTGCTTTCGGATGGCCTCCGCACTCCGCCGGCCTTGCAGAACCGAACTGCATTTGAGGGGAGAGAGAGAGGTGTATGTATATGTACAGGTATAACGAACAAGAAAATAAATACGTATATATATATATATATAAGAACGTCCAGTTTTACGCTTGACATGGCTTGTCATGTCTTTAGCAAGGTTCTCTGCTAGCTCGTGTTCGTTTTCATGAGGCATGGGACGCTGCCGCTCCAGCACAGCACTGAACCCCTGCCTGCCATTGTAACTAGGCCAGTCTGCAAGGACTCCGAAACTTTGCCCTGGCTCTCTCCAACTTTACATGACATCGCGCAGCCTTGCGCCGAAATTTACTCGTAGAAGTTGTCCGCAAAGCTATGGTTGAGCATGGCCATACACCGAGAGCGTGTTGTGGTGCAGCGCTTCTTTCTGCTGTGCCGTCAGATTTGCTACTTTCGTTGTGAACCAGTAAGGTGCCGCAAACAGGGAAAGACAAGGGAGATGAAGCGCAAGGCCACAATATGTGCAAGTGACATGAATGGTAGGAGCGATCGGATTTTTGACCTCTGGCGAGACCCTGTGCAGATGGGAGTGCACGCACGCAGGCGTCATACGCTTACACTACTCACTATACACTAGAACAACTGGCCCATATGCTAGCCAACCAAGCCCGGAGCTTTTTTCGTCCAGTTCACGCAAAATGCTGCGAGCTTTAGAGACTTCCAGGATGGGCTACTAGGCCCTATAATCCCCACAATCCAACCCTCTAAAGGGCCTGGTTAAGGGGCTTATAGGGTATACTAGCCCGTCCTGGTTTTTGGGGGCCGGCACCCTCAAGCCGAGGGTGCACACTACGACGCCTTCATCCCCGGACTGCCTAACAGGGATCAGGGTCTTCGCCAGGCAACTCAAAGAATGCAGACGTGGCGCGGCCACCATTAGCCCCGACTCGTTTCTTCTGTGTTTCCTCGATTTTGAAAGGAGAGGCACGACAACCTGAAAAGTTTTAACTTATGCAATCAGCTCAACAATGGCTTAGCCGCTTCGAAGAGACCTTTGGGTGTGGACTGCGCTTTTATTGTGCCGGTTGCCGTGTCGGCATTCTGGAGAGACCACAGCCGACAGTGAAGGGAAGTTTGGCGTTCTCGCTCTCCAGTGCCGTTGCCGTGAGACTTGCGAGCAGGCTGTGACCTGCCCCTGATCTGCTCATTCTGAGCTCGCAAGCACACAGCACAGCATTTTGACTCCTGGCATGGTTGTAAAGTCTTCAGACAGATTCCACCCCGGCCGTGCCTACATCCCTAAAGCTTTAGCAAATTTGCTTCGAAGGCCTCAGACTTGTCTTTAAAGCATGGATGGCAGTAGCTTCAGGAGCTGCATTACTGGCCCAGCCGATCTCTGCCAGCGGGGGGGTCGAACCTCTAAAGGTGACAAGAACTTTGTTCCAGCTCATCACGAAATCTGTCAAGAGATGACCTGTCAGTGCCAACGTCACTGTCTGTCTGTGGCAGTGTCAGTGTCAGCGTTGGTGATCGTGATCGTGCTAGTGATAGTGTGAGTTTTCGCGTTCATGTTCTTGTCTCTGCGCGCGGCTGCGGGCGAGCGGGCGTGCGTGCGTGCGTGCGGGTGGGCGCTCGTGTGTGCGTGCGTGCGCGCTTGCGTGTGCGTGTTGTGACCGCGTGTTTGTGCACGTGTTTGTGTTTTCAACGATCATAGTGGTTTAGCAATGAGCTGCTCGAGTATGTACACAAAGCTCCCCGTTGAAGCAGGTGACTCCAAACGGTTCTCTCCAGCTGCTGGTATTCGCGAGGAGCAACCTAACCTCTCAAACCGCTACTTGCTTGCTGCCTGAGGGACTGTTGTGGAGATGGGGTTCCGCATGATGGTTGCCCTGAACTCGAACACGCAAATCCTGATTCCCGAAACTCCCCTCCCACCTCACCAACATCCCCACTCCCCGGCCTCCCTTTCCTACCACTCACCATCTTACATACTACTGCTCCTACTACTGTCAGTGCAATCCTTCGAGCCTTTGTATGTCCACGCTAGAGTGTCCGAAACGTTCAGAGTCACGCCATTGCATCTGCAGTCTCTCAATGTCTGGATGCGCAAGTGTCTTCCTGCACGTGCAGCACCAGGTTGCCGGTCCGTTCTTCCAAGCGCACGTCAAAGAAGCAACCGGCGCTGGAGCTATGTGGGGGTTTCCAAAAATAGGGGTACCCTTTTGGTGGTCCGCTTTGAGGGGATTCTATTGTATTTGGTTAGTTGGGGTGTAAAAAAGGGGCACCCCTATTTTGGGAAATACGCATGTGACCTTGGACATGTCATCAGGTCACCAGGATCTTGGCAGAAGTCTTCAGGGTCTGTGCTGGCAATGGGCAGGCGGGACTCCACGCCTTTTCCAAAGAAAGGATAACTAAACCCTAACCCCTAACCCCTAACCCCTAAACCCTAAACCCTAGGCCCTAAACCCTATAAACCCTAAACCCTAAAGGGCCCTTCACCGGTACACAAGCCGATGCTTAGGAGTTTCTGTCCCTCAATCCTGCTCACGACGCACAGCAGCCCCAAGACTGTTCACGGAAAATCCTGGATTGCTTGGCGAACGGGCACCGTCCATCCCACAGAATCTTTATTTCAGCCCTTAGAAGCCTGACGAAGATGCTGGCTCGTTCACAAGGCTGGCGAAACTTAGTGCAAGAGAACCTAAGACGGTACTCATGAGTCGTAACTAGTATTGGCGAAGGCTGATCGGATTGAAAGAGGACTCTATAAGGATTTGATTTGGTTGGGCACAATTCTACGCTCTCCCCTTTTGCACAACCGGCGTGCGCATACGGTGTCAGTGGTTGCGCCCCTTTTGGGGTAACCGGCATATTATGACTACTATAGGGGGTAGAATTCTGACAGGCGCCCAACAAGGAGGCATGATTTAGAGATCCCCCCTGTCGACATCCTAAGATTTACAGGCTCCCACACAATATCAATGGCACAGTACGATAACATAAAGGTCCACACGACATCTCGAACAGTACCTTCGGGATGGACAGCCCCTCGGCGTGATGTATATACACATGCCGCAGTCCTACGGCATTTGGGGAACCCTATCACATAGGTTGGGCACACCTGCCAGATGGCATCATCTCTCACAAAGGAGCGAGGCAGCACACAGGAACAACAGGAGGGCCATGTCAGAGAACAGGAAGGCTGGCGCGCGGCCTCGTTGCCACATGATTGCAGGAGGCAGGCGAACAAGCATAATCTGCCAGCACCACGTCCGAACTTGCAGAGGCGTGTCTGTCCGGTCTTGGCTGGTCAGCTATGGAGCGACAGGGCAGATCCGTGCACACAGCAAACAATCTTAACATATCTTCATAACTCCATGATGCCGGCAAATGCTGCGGCTTGTGCCAAGAAACACTCCTGGTTGCGGTGCAGCCAGGGCCAAGGCAAAGAATTCCCTACATGAGTTGGTGCTCCGGGCGCAAGCGTGCTCAAAGGCTTCGACATCTAGAATCTAGGTGGAAGGGGTTGTGTGCGTGGCCTACAAGCCCAACCAAAGAAGAATCCACGATGATGGTCTAATGCATCTACTGCTTCTTGCGAGCTGGTACGTGCTACTATGGCATCATGAGTTGGGATGTTCCCCTTATACTCACAGTCCTTTATAGGGATGATAATAGGGGGTACTGTAATCCCTATTAAGGACGGTTAGTATAAGGGGGAACGTTCCAAATCATGACTCTGAACTTCCCCTGTTGGGTGTCGATGACGTCTCCGTGCTCCGCCCGAGCTTGCAGACACTTTAAATTGGTGATTGGGCAAGATGTGAATCCGCAGCGTACTGCTCCAGCCCCAGGTTTGGCCCATCATGGCCTTTTGGGATTTTAGGGCTCGTGCCTCTTGAGAGTTGGAGGGATTTTTCGTGCTTTGGCAGGGGAGGTCACCGAACTGGAAGGCAGGGCAGGGGAGTCCCATCTCGAGACTGGGAGTTTTTTCTTCCCAGGAGATTTAGGCAGCCATTGGCTGATGTTTATCCACCGCATGTCCGAGATCAAGACTGGCATGAAGCAAGTAGTACTTCATTGGGTGGGTGCAAGCCGTCCCCCTACTTCCGGTTCGTACAATAGCAAGCCCGCGCCATGCACTCTTGCGTGGCAACAAAGTGTCAGACGCGGCCCGACTTGGATAAGTACCTTCGACGCCTTGCTATGCTGCTACAAGTATTGTGCTTCAGAGCCCTGAAATTCGAGGCAGTCCTCTGCGCTCTGCATTCGACCTTCTACCGCAGCCTACGGTTCTTCGGACATACCGAGGACTTCCGACTTAAAATGCATCGGCGTCGACTCCGCAGGACTCACCGTCCTTGGAGTGCATCACCCACCCGGTCAGACAAGGATGCCACGTAGAAGCCGCAGCAGCCCCCCATGAAAGACACCATATTCACCGCTTCTGCGCCTGCTCCTAAGTGGCTCCATTTGCCCCCACACCGTACGTCCACAGTCAATCAGCGCCGGCATTGCCCCTCTGGCCAAAGCAGGGTTGAAGTTTACAAGACAAAAAGGCAGCTCTTTTGCTTTCTGCTACGGTGTGTGAGAAGATGCCGCGCAAGTATATCAGAACCTATCCTCTTCTAGCAAACTGGACAAACTGCTCTATTATGCCAGGAAAGTATGGCAATGCCCACTGAAAGCTCGACAGGAAGTGAGCTGCCCGCGGCATACTGAGGGTTTATAAGGGCTTTGGGAGTTCAACATCTCGGCGTACCTATGAATGCCAAAGCCCGAAATAGGATGAAATAGGGCGGGCCCAAATCAGCACTGTCAGGCGTGCGGTCTCATGGCTATCCGGCATAAATGCCCCCGACCCGCCCCAGGGCCCTAAACCCTAAACCCTAAACCCTAAGCTATGGACCCTAAACCCTGAACCCTAAACCCTAAACCCTAAACCCTAAACCCTAAACCCTAAACCCTAAACCCTAAACCCTAGCAGCAGCTTCAGGGACAAGATAGGCTGGAATTGCAAGCCACGGGCAGCATTCCTCGCGAGAGGTGGCAGCAACGGTGGAACGATGCTTTTCACAGTCGCCATGGAAAAGAAAAACTGCTAGCGAAAGCGGAGGCCATGTTTTTGGGCAGCACATCCTCCCCTAAACCCTAAACCCTAAACCTCCTGGCTGATGTGGGAAAGTCGCAGGCATCTCAGCATCCCAAGCCACAGTATGAAACCCGACTCAAACCTTGGGGCAATCAACCAACTCAATTGGGGGGGGGGGGGGTACCTTATTGGGCTCCTTATTATAAGGGAACCCTACTATATGTTTGGGGACGATATTAGGGGTCCGTTATTTTCATAACTCCCGATTATGGATGTGCTGACACTTTGGACGCAAGCCGGCCACAAGTGCACACTGCATGGCTTTTATATTCCTGGTTCCGTCCGGCGGGCGGACCCAATCCTCGCAATCCTTTCGACGCACTCCTCTCAATCGAGGCCTGCGAAGCCATACGCTGGATGTGTGACACAAGAGCACGGGAGCATCTGGGCCCGCTGTGCCATGACCTCTTTGAGTCCACAAGGTTTGTACACCGTAGCTACACGTGGCTGCATGCACTGACCAGACCCTGGCAAGCTGGAGTTCAATGGAGGAACATCTATGCCATCTTCGGCTGCCCTGGCAAGCTATTGTGGAAATACATACCAAATTCAAACAACTCTTGCACAGAAGCGTGCATTTTGCAAGAAGAGCAAGTAGCTCCAACGATGCCAACGCCTGAGTCATTGCCAGCGCCACGTAGGCTACATCAATCAAGTTTCCTGTCTTGGTCCCACAAGCCTGTTTCCTCACGTCAGTTGCTTGTGCCACAGTAGACAGTCAGGATGGTCCGGCCATACAAAACTCACTGAGCACATGACTGTTGCAGGCCTCTTTGTCCAAATCAGGAAGCTGGAACGCTTGCAGAATGGAAAGCACCTAGGACCCTCATGCAGCAACCAGAAAGCAGTGAAGGCGTGCTGATTTTGAAACCCTTGGGGAACGTCTGGCCGTGGTGAGGGCCCTCCTGCTTTCCTCTGACTTTGGGCTTTGCTCCGCCTGGGAGCAACTGTCTGCACCACATGCACGAGAGCCGCTGGCGGCGCAAATGCGTGGGAAGAAGGCAGATTGTCACGTAGCCGGGATGCTCGCTCTGAAGGTCCAAGTTCCTTTCTGATTGATCTCTTCTGACTTCTTCAGGGGCACGGGCCCCAGGTAGCACGCCGGCTCCCAATTCCACAAATTCGAGCATCCGCCAACCTTGTGGTCTGGTCAGGGGAATTTAGCACTTCACTGGCCTCTCCAAACGTCTATCTAGCTTGCTCCGTCAACAATGCTCCTTTCCTGCCTCTACTGAGTACTGCGCAGGGCTTCCACATTCTCACAGCCAACGACTACCGAAAGAACGACCCAGAGAGCCCAATACCCCTAAGATGAGGAATAGACCGTAAATTATAAAGGGATCCTTATGATGATTTGAGGCATATTAGGGTTTAGGGTTTAGGGTTTTCCTTGATTAAAGGGGTATTGGGCTCTTTGGGGAGTCTGCTGGCAAAGGCAAGGGCAGTTGATCCTCCTCTTGGCAGCCCCGGGCCGTCTTGAGGAGGGCGACCAGCTCATTCCTGGACAAGCGCCAGCTGGACCCAGACATCGCACCGGTTTAAGGTCTAGGGTTTAGGGTTTAGGGATATCTCGTCCCGCAAATTCTGCCCCATGTTGAACACTGATCCCACACAGTATCGATATGCGATTCCCGCCAAATGCGTTTCTTCTTCTCTCCACTCAAATCAAATTAGTCGACAATGAAAGTGAAAGTAAGTCAGAGGACGCGTTCACAGAGTCGTCATGTATATAGAGAAATATATATATATATATATATATATCTATATGTATGCGCATATTTATATGTACTGAGAATACAATATGTTAATATTGAACTGCTACATAATCTGCATTATCTGTCGTATTACAGATTACATAATGCATATTCTCTCTCTCTGCCACTGCATCCCAAAAGGTCCCACTGCGTGAGGCAGCCAAACACCCACTCATAATGCATATTACAGATTGCTATGTCATACTGTCACATTGCATGTTGCACAAAACTCTTGTATACCAAATATATACAGTACAGGCTATACAGATATATATATATATATATATCTGTATATGCGCACCCCCCACCCCCCCCCCCCTCCCATGATCTGGGTCGGAAAGACTTTCGGCCGAAAGACTTTCGGCCGCATCAAATTCAGATTAACCTGATTCGAAATCTATCGAAATCTATGTTAGGAGGCCACACCTTCGGAGACCTTCCTCTGAGAAATCCTCTGGCCTCATTCGTAATAAAAAGCTTAATTTGAAATCTAAACTCAAGGGCCACACGTAACAATTCCTCTTCTGGGCCCTTCGCATTTAGATTTGCCGAGATGGTTCTATAAAAAGGCTACACCTATGAAATCATTTTCTGGGGCCTGCCTGTTCGTAACAAAAAACCTCATGCGAATTTCGAATTCAGATGTCAGCCCAAGAAAATCCTCTTATTAAAGATCGGTATATCTGAGAAGCCCACACCCTAATAGATTCTCATCTGGGCTTCGTTCGTATGAAAATAGGCAGAATTTTGTATGACGAGGCCACACCCTAAGATATCATCTTCTGAGCCTCATTCTTAATTAAACCGACTTAAAATTGAATATATGTTTATATAGAATTTACAGACCACACCCTATGAGATCCTCTTCTGGGCCCTCTTCATGGAAAAAATGCCAGTAGAATTGTGCATGAAAAAACCAAACCCTTCAGATATCCTCGTAATTAACCTCAATTCACAAGATTAGGAGGCGTCAAGGCCACACCCTATGAGATCCTCCCCTCTCCCCGATTTGCAATGAAACTTGATTAAACCTTTTTGTATTGCAAAGCCACTCTCCAAGAAAATCCTCAATGTTCAGCATGTCATTGATATCGGGGTTTACGAGGGTTCTTCATATGAAAAAAACAAAAACTAGATCATGAAAAGGAGGGGTGACCATGTATATATATATATGTATATATATGTGTGTGTGTTTATATAGGTATACACATTTTGTATAGACACATTATACATCTATATAATTATACATACATATATATATATATAATATAATATAATATAATATAATATAATATAATATAATATAATATAATATAATATAATATAATATAATATAATATAATATAATATAATATAATATATACATATATATATATAATAATAATAATAATATAATCAAAAAAGCTGGCTTATCCCCCGTCCCAACCCAGATCATCGGCCTCTCCGGTGCCTGCAGGCTTGGCTTCTGCGAGGTTTCAGGAAGTTGGGGGGCTTCGGGGCCGCAGGTACCTTTTTTAGGGTTTAGAGGTTTAGGGTTTAGGGATTAGGGTTTAAGGTACTTTTTCTTGAGAGTTGTCCTTGTCACGTGCGCACAGAAGGCATCTCGTGTCTCCCTGCTGGTAGGACTCCCTCGCCCTACTTCTTTGCTAGCGGCTACTAACGTCCGAAGCCTGCTGCGGCTGTCCCCATACATACTGCAATCGCACTGTTGATGCCAATGCTCTCTTTCACCAGGCCACGAGCTGCGTACTTCGAGGGTTAGCTGTAAGCGAGACCTAGCCTGCGATCATTCCAGAATGCGGCAAGAATAGTGAGAAGTGCATAGGACAGCGAGAGCAGAGTTCAGTTAACCCTGAAACTCATCAGGAAAACGCTTTGGGGATCTGCAAGATTCGGTTGCTTTGGGATTGAGCGACTTTGCTTCGAAGCCTGTACCAGTGACCCTAAACCCTAAACCCTAAACCCTAAACCCTAAACCCTAAACCCTAAACCCTAAACCCTAAACCCTAAACCCTAAACCCTAAACCCTAAACCCCGACTCCCTCATTCTCGGCCTTTCCAGCGATTTCGGTTTCGCCCTCCTCGGCGCCGGGGCCGGTCTCGATGCTCACCTGGCGACACCCAAAGAGCCCTTTATACCCCTTGGCTAAGGAATATTCCTTAAAATCATAGTAAGGATCCCTTTATCATTTAAGGTATATTCCTTAATTAAGGGGTATCTCTGCGATGGGCTGGGGCTGGCGGCTAGCGACGCATGCGTCTGGCAAGGGTCGGGCGACGCCCTCCAGATTCCTCCAGCAACACAGCTGCAAGACAAGCAAGCAAACCCGCAGCCACTCAGACTCAATCTTAACACAAGTATGTAGCCGTAGAATGCGAAAGTCGCACACGCTTTCATAATTTCTGCTCCAGGGCAGCGCCTTTTTTAACGCTCAGGTATTCAGTCCCTGCCCCACCTGAGTGCTGCTTCGCCCCCTGCCCTGATGGCCATGACATTCGGGTGCTCAGTCTTTTTGGCTCTACGTGGGTGCTTGCGATGTAACCTGGTCGTTGATGCCTCGCGCGAAGCACCACAAGCAAGACCTTAAGGAGCCACTCCCCTGACCCTAAACCCTAAACCCCTAAACCCCTAAACCCCTAAACCCCCCCCCCCCCCCCTCACACAACGTGGGATCAATAATCTGCCAGTTCGTCGACCATCGCCGTCGTGGGTGTCGTTCCCCTGGAAAGGCCACATGGGTCTGCACTCTTGTGCTATGGCTATGGCGTACTGCGGAAACGCTGCTCCGTGCAGGCTTCCTTATCTCTCATGACAGAATACGCCGCGTCCCGCATCGCAGTAGAAGCCTCTTCTGCAGGGTCCTGCTCCTCTTCCTCTTCAAGCGCCTTCCGGTGACATCTGCATTCCGGCTGACAAGTTGGATGCGCGACTGCCTCCTGAAAACCGACAAAATTAATTGTGTCGTGCTGATACCGCTCTGACACTGCTCACCCCCAATTCAGTCATACGGCATCCTCATAGAGCACTCTACATAGGGGTTTTTAGGGGTACCTTATTGGGGCCATTTTTAGAAGCGAATCTACTACTCGGGGATCTATATTGGGGGTCCCCTAGCTTCGTAAACCCCGCAATGGCGCCTGCTCGGTGAGGAAGGGCAGGTGCACCAGCGGGCAGTCCTCCCTTGGCAGCGCAAAGCATGCACAGTCGGCCTCGGCCCCTGGCCGAAAGGCGTCTAGAACAAGCAAACCGAGATCTGGTCTTCTTTCCCTTTTCCTGCCCCCCACCCCCCGGCCCCCCCGGCTTCCTGCTCAAACCGCTTGGAAAAAGGGGTCGAGCTTGTGGGGCGCTCCCAGAGTGGTCGCTCCCACAGAGGGAGCACCAACAAACAAGACGAAAGGCACCTGCGACTGAAGCCCTCCTCTGCCTCTTGAAGTCATGTGTGCGACGTATGACCTTGGCTTTGTCTGCGATTCGCACGCTACACCTCGCTTTGGGCCGAACCCGGCTGCCGAGGCGGCGCACGCAAGCGTCTGCAAGCATCCATTTTTCTGGAGCATACCCGTAAGCTGCGGGTACTTGCGCAAGCTTGGCTGCCGAACCTGCAACATAGCTATTCGACTTTACGACCTCAAAATAGCATCAATCAGCCACACGACCCGGCTCGGCACAGTACATTTCATAGCTTTTGCATCCGGGACGTAGCTAAAAACGAAAAGCGGTCCACAGCCAGAAAAACCAACAGCCCACAGCAACATCTCCACACGTCTTACACTACGAAGACGCGGCTGATCAACGTCACGACAAGAAGAAGGCCCAATCCTTGTCTTCAGGACTATGGTGATTTACTGCAAACACTCTGCTACAATACTGTACCAGGAAACTAAGAACACCCCCACCTTGCCCCCGCCGAGAAGCCAGGAACAGTAGCCCGGGCCACATCCGTTTCCGCGCCACGCGTCGCAGGAGGTGATCTCCTCAGCCTGAGCTGTGGATCGTTCATTGGGTCTCACCGTCGTTTCAAAGAGGAAGCTTCTGTAAAATCAAGGTGTGGTAGCGCACATCGACTGAGTAAAGAGAGGCCCTGCAAATGTGCTATTGCTTTCTTTCCCCGTGGCCTCTCAAACACTCCGATTACATTAGACGTAGGCGGCGTCTCGGCAGAGTCACACGTAGGAGCGGCTTTGATGATTCCATTTTCGAGTGGCTATGTAGGATTTGCGTTCAACGTATTGCCGAGTTACTGTTTCTGCATGCTCCTGCATGCATTCGCCTTGCGAATGGCGCTTTCGACTGTAGGCCTGAAGACTCTAGTACCGCCCTGCGTGTGCAGGTGCGCATGACCGCGTGTGTAGGGCCAGAGAGGTGCAGGATTGTCTATGCTTTCACTATTCGATGGTGCAGGGTTGCTTGGGGATAGACGGTCCAGAGCCGAGCCGTCGGCCTTCATTGTTTCCAGCAAAGCTGCGGTATCGCGAATCTGCACCCAAGATCAGGGCAAGTCCGACACACGGTGCCATGTTCTAGCTACGATAGTCATCACAACATACCCTGTTTTGCTCCGCTTTTGCGGAAACTGTTCTGCACAACAGACACAAAGGGACCTTTCCTTGCCTTGTTCCGACTCAGCCGCAGCCACAGCGGGACCAGGTGAAGGCCTTGAAACACGCAGCTGGCAACAAGATCGGGTGCCAGGACGTGTGGCTAACAAGAACTTGTTCACGCCACAAGAGGCTAACATCCTGCCTTCATATCCGTGAATCTCCCTCTTTGGTGGGTACCTGCAGTGCGCACACCCACGGTTTGCATGAATTGCGCATGAAGTCTCTAACCTTCACTTGCTTTGCAGGCCTACAAGCCCCGCCCAGCGGCAACGCTTGGTGCATGCAGACCCGAGGTGTGTATCAGAGCGCGTTCCCGGGCTAGACTGCCGTTGCCTTGTGCAAAGGAAAGTTTGCAAACCTCCGAGTTTGCTGGCCTCAGGCCCCAAGAAGGCCCTAAACCGATGATCCCTAAAAGACCTGGTCCATCTCGCACTCTGAACCACCTTCTTAGACTTGGGCATCCCGAGTACTCAGAAGGAAGTGCGCCTGTGCTTCAGCTCCTTGAGCGTCCTGAGCAGCTCCAATGCCGCCGCGTCGTCGATCTGACCGAAAATTGCACTGCAAGGCTGTACTTGGAGGTTTATGGTACTTATTAACCAATTAGAGTTATAGGTTTATGGTACTAACCAATTAGAGTTATAATTGGTTAATAAGTACCATGAAGCTCCAAGTAAGAGCTGTGAGAAGTCTGAAAGTGAACCCTTGAGAGAGAGCCTGAGAGTTCTGCAGACTGTCTTGCTGTGGATGTGGCGTGACAGGCTGCGGATCGCATTTTTTCTGGAAAACCTTGAGCCTACAGGGCCTACAGGCCTAGGCCCAGGAGTCTAGCAGTGACCTTTGTGCGCGACAGGGTCTGCAATCAAAGGGTAAAAAGATGCCATTCGCACGACGAATCTCGCCTTTGCTCACCAGGTGCTAGACAAAAGGGCACACAGCTCACAGCTGCCTCGTTTTGCGATAAGTGCAGCTCATAGATCTGGCCTGCACCTTCTCAAAGCTTCTGGATGCTTTGGCAGGGCACAGGCTTCCTTTACACGCTGATTGCACCGACAACGCAAGCTGGAATGAGCCTTGGTGGTTCAACTTCCTGGTGGAATGGTACATAGTACAAGGTTACTTAGTTGGGTTTGTCATAGGGCTTATAGAGACTTAAGCACTATGCAATCCAATGACATCCTGTCAATGTCCGCCGGCATGCTGGTCGCAGGTCATGCTTCCCGGGGGCGATGCGTTTGTTGTTGTTCCGAATGAACTCACCTGGCATGACCGAAATCGCTGAGGACTGGCATGATTGGCGCATACTCTGCCTCTCAAGCTTACTGCGTGTTTTTTGGGTGGCGGGGCGAAGTCACATCATCGTTTAATGAGCATCGCCCCAGGCACACGTGCCACCCGCAGGAGGAAACCAACACAAAATCATGAATCCCCAAGTTCACACACCCCGCAGCCCAGCCCTTTCGTCTCCCCCTCCTTCTCTAAGCACCTCTCCCGAGGCAAAGGCCCCACAAGCCACAGCCCTCCCAAAAGAGCCCATACCTTAAACAATATTAACGGATCCCTATATAACTTAAGATATTTCCTTTTTTTAAGGGGTATGGGGGCTCTCTGAGGCGTTCAGAAGCATGGCATGCCCCGAATCCCGCTCTCGATGACTCTCACAAGCGTGGCAGAAAGACAAAGCGCCAAGATCCCAGCCCCTGAGATCCTGCTGCGTATGTGCGGGTGTCTCTCTCTCTCTCTCTCTCTATATGCATGTATATACACATACATATGTGTCTATACTATGTGTGTTCATCTGCATTTGCAGGTATATTCATATTCAAGCTTATGTATATGTTTCTGATATTATAAAGCCTTTTTCAAACACATATACAGAATGTTACATGAAGGAAAGATTAAGCAACGCAGAATCCAACGCAGAATCCACTGCGTGCTTAGAGGATTTCGGAGGCGCCCTGAAACCCCAATGCCGATGTCCTGTTGTTGTTGAGCTTGAGGTAGCCTGCCTGTACCTGCATCCATTTAGGGGTTAAGGTTTAGGGCTGTGCGCTTCAGGAAAGTTCCTTGAGACTCAGCACCCCAAGCCTCAAACTGCGCTAGGCAGTCCAGCAGCATCCACAGCGCTTGGTCGCTCATGCCGTTGTAGCTGAAGTCCACCTGCAAGTATTCGACAGGAGCGAAGGAATGATCATAGTAACCCTAAACCCTAAAACCCTAAGCCCTATATCTTCTGCTTGTTTCATGCTGTCTGAAGACCCCAGCGGCGGCCGTAGCATCTTTTTGTTCGGGAGCGTGCAGCTGGTGCCGGAATGAGGTTTGCAAGACGAGGTGAAGGGGAAGCGGTGGGCAAAGGGCTTTGGTGGATTTTGCGTGACTCAACTCGCAACCCCCGAACCCTAAACGACGCCCGGGGCATCCTCTTCAGCCGTGGGGCTAATGCTAAAGAATTGGACAAGGGCACCATCTCATCAGCTAATGCAAGTATCCTGGGGGCGGCCGCTCAACAGGTGCGCACTCTTCTATAGGTTGCGCATCATTGCAAGGCCACCCGTGCTTTCACGTAGTGTCGCTGCGTAACGTACTTCCTCATGCACTTCCCACGCGCACTCACATTTGGCATGGTCTCCCATGTCTTCGGCATGCCGCGCCTAAAACTTGAAGCATATCGCAGCAGTTCACAAGAGTCACGGATTCAACCCAAAAAATGACATGATGAGTGATTGGCGCCCCTGGCATTCCGCAGGCTTCCCAGCCTTTGGCAGCCAGAAATTAAAAGAAACTAAGTAGCCACTGAGAGAACAAAGACACCGCTCTGGGATGCTCTTGGCGTCCTTCTGGGCTGCGGTGCTTCTGGTGAGGCCGTGAAACGAAGCCGCACTTAGGGTGCAGCTTTGCAGCTTAACCCTATAAGGCCCTAAGGCTCTAAGGACTCCTATTTTAGTGTTTTGGGCCTTAAGGCCCGCTGAAAGAAGGCTTTTGGGCTATCTTGAGCCTTAGGGCAACAGTGAATCCTCAGATTCTTGAAGTGTTTCCTGCGTCCTACCAGGCTCAGGATGACTGCTTGGAGAGGCGGCGTCGCTTGGGGCTTGTGGATTGAAGGCTCTCCTTAGCAACGAGGGCGCAGCTATCAGGTTTAAGCGTCTCTTCCATTAACAAACCAAGCTGGCTGCAAAGCACTCGTGGCCTGTACCCTGCAGAGGAACTGTTCCGGAAAGCTTTGCAGAACTGAGACCTGCTGTCTCATGACATTGCCATATTTTTCGGGCCCGCAGGCCCTCCTCAACGCTGGTGACACAAGCGACGTGCCCCAAGATGCTCCGAGCGGCCACCACGGCCCTCACAGAGAGGCGGTGCTTGCGGCAGGCCCGCTTGGACACCTAGGATGAAGGTGTTCTTGCACGAAGAGAGGGCCGACTTGCACTGCCAAGGTTACCAGATGTGTCAGAGCCAAAGGCCGTGATCCTATTTTCACCGTCTAGACTAACTTGAGGCGTCATGCATCGCGGTTTTCGCCTCAGACAGAGAGCTTGGGAATCAGAAGCCCAGCGGCATCGTCGATGCGAATAAGGCGGCCCGCCTGCTCCAGAATCTCCTGGTTTAGGGTCTGCAGGTTTGCGGCAGGCGAAATGTGGTCCTCCAACTCCAAGGTTCTTTTTTATACTTGGAGGTTCAGGAGGTTCATGGTACTTATGACCCCGGTTATAACTGTACTTTCTAAACCACTTACAAGCCCCTTCAGTGCCCTAACGTGGTTGGAATTGGGTCAGAAGTACAGTTATCATTGGGTTCAGAAGTACCGTGAACCTCCAAGTACCGATGAAATTACAAGCCCTCTGCGCGCCGCAGCCTCCGTCGTGCTTGCATCGTCTGTGACACCCAGCAACTCGAGGTCGCTCTGGGTGAAGGACTCCATTTCCTCTCGGCTCAAAACCGCCCCTTCAGGCTTCGTGCGTAAGCCGTGAGAATTTGTGGAGATGCCTTTCGGGGTTCCGGATTGGGGGTGGCCGACTAGCTTCTTAATCGCTCTCACACTCGGACGAACCAGGCACTCGGACGAAAAAGGCGAGGCGGTCAGTAGTCATCAATGCGGAGCTCGATTAGGCTCCGGTGATACACTCAGGACTCTGCTGGCCCTAATCTCCACACACGAAACTATACAGACCGCGGCGTGTAGACTACGTCTGTTGCATACTGTTCGGTCAAACACGCAATGGCTGCGCGGTGTTGTGTCCCTTCGGGTTCTGCCCTGACGATCGCCATCACGAAGGGAGCAGCCGCCTTTGATGCAAGGCCCATGTGACTTCACAGGCCTGCAACAATCAAAAGGCTTTACCCGAACAAGCTCTGATTCTCTGCCAGGCGCCTCAAGGACCGGCAAGTTCTGTTGCAAGACTTAGTTGCTGATTTAACCGGGGTCCCTAAACCCTAAACCCTAAACCCTAAATCCTGGGGCATTCCTGCCAAACATGCTTCCATGCTGGGCTGTGCTCTGTGTATGCAGCAGAAATTGCCCGAACGAAGCGCGAATTCTGCTTAGGTTTAGCTCTTGCCATTGTGCACGATTTCCCAGTGCGTTTGCAGCACCTAGCATTTGGAGCTTGAATCTTCAAGGGGAGGGCTTTCTTTGCGCACAGGCCGGGAAATGTGACCAACGGTAGAGTGAGAGGTCTCCGACAAGCCCTTCCATCCCACAGCACCCCTTGCACTTGGCTCCAAATTTAGAAGATTTCGCAAATTGCAAGCACAAAACCTTACAGGGCTTGCAGGAGTATCTGCCGTGCTCTGATATGCAAGCTCGAGTGCGCAAAAGTGCATACTGCTCAGGCGCTTGTGGAAGCGCGCAGTTGGATGTCAGGTGGCACACATAACCCTGCGTAGACTGGCAACATGGTCTGGAACACATCGAAGCATAATTTGCAAGGCAAGAACTGCTGCAAGCTACTCACCCCCGACATGCCTCGTGCACACCGATTGAAACTCTCCACACATCGGGAAAGCTCAACTCAAATTGGGATGCAAGGTGCAACTAGAATACATGCACCTTTTGGCAAACTCGCACCAGTACTTCTAGAAGATGTAGGTGACACAACTCAGGCAACACAAGCGGCTAACGAATTTAGACGCATGACTTCATGCCTGGCCTAACTTCACGTCTGGCACATGCACCGCATTACATTCGCTTGTGTCGCATGATTTCTTGTGCGCCTCTGCCAACCCTTCTAATGAGATGTCGTACACGTTGTCTGTTATAATTCATTACTCGGCTGTTCGACGAGTACATCGGCAGGGGTGCCTGTCTACTATCTGCAGGTTCTTCACACCAATGCCATCTGATGCCCAGTGTGACAGCCTCAGGATCTTACTTGCCATGGCGTCCCCGGCCACTTTTGCGCGCCCGGTTCTTGCCAGCGGTGGGGCCTGGAAGGTGAATGTGACAGTAGCGCTGCACTTCCTCCCATTGCTTCAAATCGATTTCGTTCAAGCTGTGCATTTGGGCATCGACTGCTTGGCCGATTTCATACGTCAAGGGCGTCATGACATCCAGGTCGAGCTGCAGCCGCACACCCGAAAGAGCGATGTTCAAGAGCGACTGGGTGCCGATCTTCTTGCAGTGGCTCCTCGCTCGCAGAGCCACCTCCGTGGCGAGCCGGCGCACCTCGCTGTCCTGGGGGCTGGAGTTCATCAGCGCGCTGACAATGCCCGAGCAGTCCTGCCATGAGAACTCATCGATCCTTCCTTACTTCTCCAATAACCCGGGGGAAAAAAGGTTAAACTTTAATATTCCTACCAAATAAGGAAACCCAAAAAGTTCAAAGTTCAACTAAAGGCGATGTCAGCTTCTGAAGGCTTCCCTGGCGGCGACTTTGCCAAAGAGCAAAAGCACGTCGTGGCCCTTCTGGCTCACGCGGTTGAAGGCCCAGCAACAGTTTGCTATGGCCTGTGGGGGGTATGCCTTGATATTCAATGCAGCGGAGTGGGCCGCCACGTCGAAGAAATGCAAGACTTCCTCGCCATTCATCACATCCAGTGTCGCCAGCGACCACGCGATGGTTGACACGCCCTGAGGGGTAAAGTCGCGGAGGCGCCGTGCAGCTTCGGAAGCCACAGACTCGGCAAACCACCGAACTTCCTCGAAGCAATCTTCTTTCGACTTGGAACGGGCTTTGCGTCCAATCAATTTCGCCATGGCCCACAGCGCCATGGAAAGCTCCTGCGGGTAGAACATCTTCAGAAGGTCTTCGGAAGCTCGTGTCCGCCGCGCCGCATCTCTGCAGAAGAGTTTCACTGCCTCCTTGTCCAAAGGGGCATCTGCCCGGGATTCGGACTGGAGCTTGGCACAGGCCCACAGGCTGTTGGCCAGACCCTGTGGTGACATCTCCCGGAACATCACCTCCTTAATGTAAAAGAGGCACTCGTTGCCTTGGTAGCCCAGTAACCGTATTCTAATAATAGCACCCTATTTTTGGGTTTTGGTTGTTTTTTTGGGAAACCAGAACCAAAAGAAAAGGGTAAAGGGTACCACTGGGCTGCCAAGTTGCAGAAGGTTTTCACTCCTCGCCCCTTGAGACCCAGCTTCGCCACAGCCCAGAGGCTGTTGGTGAGGCACTGTGTGCTGAATTGGGCCAGCCGCTTTGTGCCTTGCATCATCACCAAGTATGCGAGCTGAGCTCCTTCCGGGCGCAGCCCGTGTAAGCTCTCACTCAACCTGGCCAGGCCCCAAAGAGTGTTTGAAAGCTCCTGGCACGAAAACTGGTTCATGATTGCCGGGGAGGTTTGTGCGAGCTGAGCGATGATGCCCTGCACATCGCCACCTCTGACTCCAAGCTTGCCGAGGGCCCAAATGGTTCGCATGATGGCACGTGAAGTTGTGAGCCCCTGGGCCTTTGACCTGAACACTGACAGAACGCCTTCAAGGCGTGGGTCATCCAGCACATTCTGCAATCCCCCCATGGCGCCATAGGCATCCTGCTCCGAAAGCTTCGCCATGCGGTGGAGACCGGACACAAGTGATGCCACCTCACAGGTCCCGGCGATCTGTGACAATGTGGAGAGTACCTCCCCCACGTCTTCTTTTGGTTCCCACGCCAGTTCAGCTGGTCCTGCGATGTCGCTCTCTGTCCCGTTGAGCGAAACTTCCGGGGTATGTGCTTTGGACTCGGTGGAGCCCTCGAAGCGAATGAGCTCCTGCAGTTTCAGCACCGTGTGCTCCGTCTGCGGTTTGACCGGGTGCGTGTAACCCGACGGCATATACCAAGTCATGGTCCGAGTCATGGTGATCTCCGGTTGTATAATCACGATATGCTCAGATGCAGGAGTGCAGCGAAACCTTGGGTTGAGCTGAACCGAATGCGCCGCATAGTCTGGGAAAGTCATTGCTTGTAAAAAAAGGCCACCTAGAAGGCCTGGTGCAGGTGCGAACTCCGAAACCCACAGGCAGTGAGCTACAAAATCCTTGACAACTTGAGCCAAAGCCAAGCGCACCTAGGCCCGTGCCACGGCCTGCATGCCAAAGTGTGAACGGACGTACTGATTACCTACGCCTCCACGTACTCTGCTTGGACGTGAAGAGATTCTCCCTTCTCTCTCTTTTTTTGGTTGAAGGATCATGACGTATATCCTGGTCCGACCGAGCCATGAGCCGGTTCATCTCCATCAGGTTGTGGGCGCGACTTCCGCCCTCACCTCTGCTCTGGCGTGCCTGGCATGATGCCAAGAGGTAGCTTTTCGCCTGCAAGCCTGGAGGCTCGCATTGTCTATACTCCCCCCTAGAACCGTAATAAAAATGCTATACTTAATATCCTCTTGGGTTTTGTATAATCAAAAACAAAATATAATTCCCAAGGGGGACATAGTTGTGTTCGCACGAGCTTTGAGGCTCAGGACAGCACTCCGTCTCCTACTGTTTTGCGTGAAGTGTCACTGCAAGAAGTGCAAAGCCACTCGCGGCGGCCTCCTTCACCAACTGCAGAAGCAGCGACTTGGACATCTCAGTTGTCGTGTCAGAGAAGTGTCCGGCACGGATGACCTGGAGTGGTCCCTCAGCCTCACCCCCAGTCTTCCTCAGCCTTGCCTCCTCGGCCCATCATGCATATCATGTTGCAGACCCTTTGCTCTTTGCATCAAGACATGGGACCCTTTGTAAACTGCAAAAAACCAAAGTTTAAAGGGCCTTCTTCTCCATATCCAGCTTCTTGGAGCTTCGCTCCAGGAGTCCCCGGTCCATGGCCGTGGGGGTCATGAGGCGCACGGCCTCTTTGTCTCCCACTTGGGCTTGACCACAAGACAAAGACAGCTGACAGCACTCTCAAAATACAAAAGCCCAGCAAGTTGCAAACCCAAGCAGGCTTTAAGGCACTGAATCCTATGTAAACCCTAAACCCTGAACCATACCTGCACCGTACATACACTGCAGCGAGAAACGAGCACAGGCCGTGTCTGGCCGATCCGATGGGCACGATCACAAGCTTGCAGGTCCTGGGTGCGAAGCAGTGGTCGCTGCGGTCGCTTGGATGTCCAGGGTTTGTGTACTCGTATGTTGTTGATATGAGTATTGCCAATAATAGGGTTTAGGGTTTAGGGTTTAGGCTGTACCAACATACTATCACATTGGTATACGAGCATGCTTTGGGGCCAGGCAAGGTCGTCAAGTAAATCGTAGGCCTCGTAGGCCACGTGTTTGTTTTGCAAGGGGCCCCACGAACCCTAAACCCTCAACCCTCAACCCTAACACCTAAAACCTAAAACCTAGACCCTATAAACCCTAAACCCATGGCCAGTGCGACCAGGCTCGGACTGCGGATTCCAGTCGCTGTCAAAGAGGATCACCGTGTCGGCGGGTTGAAGGTTCCTCAAGCAGGCAGGAGATGGGGCCACCTATGAAGCGAGTTGAATTGTGGAGGCTAAATATCTCAACCTCACTTCTCCGAACTTCGTTCTCGGGTCCCTACAAGTAGTTGAAAAACTCAGCACTATTCCTTCTGTAAGACAGTATCAAACTGTCACGGCGCACGGGCTTGCACCTTAAGGACCTCAGGACTCTTCACTCCAAATTCACAGCACCGATGCAGGAGTCACCGACTTTCCGCAACCCACCCTGCCAAAACCACACCCTCAAGAGCAAGTGCTTGCTTGGAGGTTCATGGGTACTTAGAACCTCAATTCTACGTCTACTTATCACCAACTTAGAGGACCTGGGGTGCTTATAAGTACAGATACAGTTGGGGTCATACATACCCTGAACCTCCAAGTGTTGGCCATGCCTGCCCTGAAAGGTGAAATATCAATTGCAGATGGGTGCTCTTCTGGCTTCGGGTTCTCCTTGCTTTCATCGAGCCCCGCATGCACGACTTCTAGGCCCCCCCCCCCCCCAATTACAGCAAGAGCCCCCTAGATTGCAGCCGCAGTCTCAGACCCAGCCCGCCAGCTTTGGTGGTCAGCAACATCACAGAAATCGAGCCGTCGCTTCTGAAACTGCTGATGGCTGCCGCGCGCTTCTTCGCCACGGTGGACCCATCGATGCGCGAGAAGCCAAGGCCTCAATTGGAGAAGCCATTAGCAGTATTCTAGTAACAGAATCATAATACTTCTTTATGAAGAATGATACCAACAGTAGTAACGTGCAAGAATACAGTACTATCACAATACATTTCAAGAACAAACAATACGGTAACGTACGCACACAAACACACCCCATACAAATTGTGTTAATCTGTAGGATAGCATGTCAATATAAAAAATATACTGGGCTCCGAACATACTCATTTACTGTTTAAAACAAGAAACCTGATGTAACACAGCAGTAGCTACCAATATACCAAGCAGCATGCTATCATACAAATGAACTCATGTGCGATAACTATTCTACCAACAGTTTGTCAGATAAGAATTTCGCAATTATCAACAGTTTCTGCCATATTGCAATATTTTGCAGCCATATGATGAAAGGAAACAATATGAACATCACTTGACAAACCTATAAGTCAACAATGTACAAATGTATTAATTTCTGACAGTATTGTACAACCATATACAACAGGGAGAAACTGATGGTATAATAACATGATCATACAGTGATGAAACAAGATAAGAGTATGCTAATCTAGCTATATACTAATACAACATAGCAGTACAAATACTATCACAACAAATGCAATAATACCATATCATAAAGAGACAAGAGTATACTAACATAAGATCACAAGAATATTAAGAGTATACCTCACTGGATTCTGCACAAGTGAATCTCACGATGCCCGGAGCAAACCCCTACAGGCCTGGTCCACGCAATGTGCACGCGGATGATGCTTCGGGAGAGAATGCGGCATTGGTCTGCTCACTCTTAGTGACTTAGTGGTAATTAGCGGAGTTCCATGCTCATGGTCAAGGGGTCTTCAGGTGATGACCGAACCTGATCCATACCATTGCCCTGCCCCTACGTGGCCAGGAAGCCCAAGTGATCCAGTAAGCGTTGAAGCAAATCAAGGGATGTCCGCATCTGCGCGAAGATCAGAATCTTGTGGCCCAACTTGACCAGCCTGTGCCAAGGCGCATTTCCATCGTGATCGCACGGCTTGGTGGAGTGGCCAGGAGGTGGCAGGAGGGTCCGCTCAGCTTACGGCTCTCGGGCTTGGCTACCTCTCACCATTCCTACCAATGGCTTAACTTAAGTAACTAGTAACAGTAACATCAAATATGTTGCTACCTTCCTTTTAGTACGGTTGGCACGGCTGTAGTTTCTGCTAGGAACTACACTGAGCAAACGTGGTCAAAAAGGCTCTTCGACATGTTCCGCCTTGGGAGGAACCGGTCCAAGAACTCAAACTTGCCCGATGCACGGATGAGCTCCTCCAATTGATCGGGCTCAAGCGCGAGCAGCGGATTCAAGAGATGTCTGAAGATGTCTGGAGGTTGTGGACAGGAAATCAGAGATGTTCATTCAGTGTTACCCTAAACCCTAAACCTAAACCCTAAACCCGAAAAGCCCTGGTCTCCTGCACAGGCTGACCAGACGCGGCCTTCTTGCCTTACGTACAGGGAAGGTGGTGAAGGCTCGTGTGAGCGGGTGAAATCAACATTGCATCTCACCTATACTCCCCTCAGAACCTTAATAAACATAATATTGTTGATATCCCCTTGGGTTTTTATATGAACAAAAATGGAACATAATTCCCAAGGGGAAATAATCACCGTCCGGATGCAGCTGGGTATCATTTTCAAACAACAAGGGCACTGAGGCTTCCATTTTCAGGATGAGTCACTTAAGGCAAGCTGGTTGAAGAGCAATAAGCAGGTGACGTGCCGAGCATGTGTATCTGTTTTCCCCGCATACAAACCTTTGCCCGACGTGATCTGTCCACATCTCTCCCCTGGGGCTCCAGCCAAATGACATTTCACAAGGCTGATCGACATGAGCCAACCGGAAGCTGACCCTGACTGATGTCCTAGATCCCTTCCCCCTTCTTTGTAATATTTCAACCTTTTAACTCAGATTCACTAACGCAGGGGTCGGGGTATCTTCATATTAGGGGCAACGGGATTCGTAAGGGCCGGGTCCTGTTTGAGAATCCAGATTGCGTGTACATGGCAGTCTGGAAAACCATAAGCCCAAGCCGTTAAGCAAGGTGCAACGCGGGAATCCTTCAATCCTACATTGTACGTAACCCTTCATTACGCAACTCTGTGTCCAGCCATGTGGCTCAGGTAGTGGAAGGGATGATTCACGGCCTTTCGCAAGGCCATTCCCGACATTGCGTTGGCAGACACGCCGCCCGAACTCAACTTTGCCTGACCTGCAGCCACAGCAAGCCGAACATCTCACCAGCACATGGTGTAGGTCACAAGCATGCACATGCTGTCGGGTGCTCTTGCCGACTGTTGCAGATGCAAACCTGGTCCAGAGTTGAGCCTGGGATTATGTCACATCGGAAGTTCATCACCAGCCACCAGCACACTCCAGTATGTTGTGAAGCGACGCACGTTCGTTTCCGAGATCATGGGAGCGCCATAGAGTCAGTTAGAACATCTGTGACTTCGTGATGGCCTGCAACACGCTGAATTGTGCGGAGGCCCTTCCGATATAGCACCTGCGCATGTTCACAAGGCCAAGGGTGAGTGCATGAGCGCAAAGCAACTGCTCGCCGCTGCCCTGGGCAATGCAATCGCTGCAGTTCCAAGCCTTCTGCCAAGACGACAGTGGAACCCAAATCACTGCTTCTGTCTTTGGTGGAAGATCCTTGGCTGTGCAGGGGTGCAGCTCTGCCCAGCCCCAGTTTGCGCGAGCGGCGGGAGTTTGTGGAATAACATTCATGCTGGCATGGGCCGAAGGCAACCCCTCGTGCGTCCCAAAGTGAGAACCACTCAGATGAGCCTCGGTGAGGACCTGCTCCTTGGTTCTCCTGAGGAGGAAAGGACGCAGCACCTTGTGCAGCCGCTGGATGATGAGCAGCTCCTCCTTCAGGTGCATGGACATTCTAGGAAGCCTGCCTGTGGCCTCAGCCTCTGGGTCCAGCGGGTTCTCCTGAAGCCTCAAAGCCTCAAGCTTTGCTAGCTTCAATCTTAGACGAGTACTGGGCACGTGCAATATTGCGATTTTGGGGCCAGAGCTACTGATGTTTGGGGGCTTGAGTGAGGGGCTATGCCTCTTGCATGTCACACTAGAAGCAATCGTTAGACCCCGGTGCTTCTACGGACAGGCGGGCATGGGCCAACGCACCCCAAACCTGACGCCTTGGGTGCACGGAAATCATGATGACCATCCCACTCTGCCCTCCTCTTTGCCCTAGAACACCCCAGAGTCACCAAGTAGCAGAACCTGCTTGCTCGAAGATGCCTACAGCTGGCTTCTTGGTAGCTTCACACCCTGTCGCAGCCACGCCTCCTCCGAAAGCAACTGGCGTACCTCGGCCTCCTCCTGAGCACCCAGGCGAACCTGAAGCCCACACGGAAGCTCATGGCTGCTATGGAGTTTGGCAATACAGTCATACTGATATAGAAATATAAACATGCAAGAGTAGAAAAATATAGCAAGATATTGAACAAATGATATAGCAATGTTCTGCAGGTCTGTGGGGCCGGTTGGAAAACATCCCGGAGCGTCTTGGCATCAAGATGCCGTGACTGCAGCTAGCTCACCAGAACTCCAGAACCACCAAAGAAGTAGAAAGGCCGTGGGAATGTCGACGGCCGCAGCAATCGACTACCAGGACAACTACTGCGACTGTCCGACTACGGCTGCATGATTTCGACGTCTTCTCTGATCAGCACCTTCTGAAGAACTATCTTAAACCCTAAACCCAAAACCCTTACTAAATACTAAACCCTAAACCCTGAACCCTGAACCCTGAATCCTGAACTGGTGACACAGCACCATAGCAGCCCAAGCTGCTGATGGAGGGGCCGGCAAGGCAAACCACTGCTCAAAGTTCTCCAGAGAGTTGAAGGCGGAGGGGGCCACGAACGACAGGAGGCTCCAAAGCTCTCCTAGAATCGGGTTTAGGGTTTAGGGTTTGGGGTTTAGGGTTTAGGGTTGAAGTGCTGGTCATGAGGCACAGAACGTAGCTCAGCTACGCCTCTCAGATGTAGCGTGAAGCGATTACTTTGGAAAAGATGCCGTTTACAAGGGGTCTCAGACCAATAGAATACAATTCGAGTACAAATGCGGTTGTAGTTTGCGGCGCCGTCCCAATTTGGCCCCCAATCCAATCTTGAAGTGCCGGCCAGGGTCGCAAAGAATTCTGGATGGGAGTGCCAGTCAAAAGCAAGCGATGCTGGCATGGCAAGCGCCTGACACATGAAATCCCTCGCAAATCACATACTGCAACGTTGCATAGTCGTTGGCAATGCACTTCTCAAATGATGATGTCACCATAGGAAGTCCTGTTACGATGTAGAAACAGCATTTCTTCATCGTTGGTGCTGTCACTAATGTCAGTATTGTCATTCTTGCAACTTTTGTTGTCATTTTGATTACACCATCATTCTTCTTACTAATACTGCCCGAAATCCTAAACCCTAAACCCTAAACCCTAAACCCTAAACCCTAAACCCTAAGCCTTATTACTTGATAGCTGTTCACATCAGCTCGCGTCAGCTCCTCCCGCTCTGAACCTTCCCCGATGCCGAAGCTGCTAGACTGCTGGACACACTCTGTGAAGGTTTAGGGTTTAGGGTTTAGGGTTTAGGGTTTAGGGTTTAGGGTTTAGGGTTTAGGGTTTAGGGTTTAGGGTTTTTTTTTGCCACCCGCCTAGCAGGTTTAGGGTTTACAGTAGGGTTTAGGGTTTAGAGCTGCCCCGCAGGTAGCCCTTGTAGGGTTTAGGTTCTTTTTAGGGCTCAAAGATGCTGAATGTCATATCGGCCCATCATGTCGGCACACAATCCAGGAGCCCACGCCAAAACGCGAAAGCTTGATTTCACCAATAAAGAAATGGCATGCGCCTCACCGCTTGGCTGCTCCGGGCATGGAAGTTCTTGATTCCTTGGGCAAGAAAAAGACTTACTGGGGCGATGCGCAGAATTTACAAACGATGCACAGATCCACGCTCGAAGCTGCACAAGCATGCCTGTGTCCACAGTGGGCCAAGGCACGGTGCCCCTCATCCACTACCACGCAGTGCCAAGGGTGATGGCCCAAGAACGCAAAACGATTTGCCACCGTCTCGTAGGTCGTGATCACCAGGTTGATGGCGTGATGTCGGTCTGGCGAGATGACAGCTTTCTCCACGGCTGAGAGGCTCTTTTCGCTGCCGCGATAGACCAGGTAGCGAAAACCTTGCTAAGCAGCAAGTCAAGAATTCTGGATTTTGCCGTTCTGGGAAGGCGAGAGATAGCGAGCAGAATGATTCTTAGAGCATCATTTTTAATCTTCTAGTTTTCACATCTCTCGTAATTTGAAATTCTGGTGCCAGGCAGTGGCATGCAACTGGAGGCGTCTCTTTTGAAGGCAGGCAAATCTGAGGCGACGACTTGGGACCCACTGCATGATCTCGTCAACCCAGTTTTGCAAGGTACTCAGTGGAGCAATCACCAAGTGCGTTCCTGGAAGGGGCTTCTGGTTTCTGCCCATCACACATTGACATGGAAAGGGGGTGGATGACCGATGAAGCTGTTTGCAGTCCTGGTTGATTCCGGCTCTCGGCCAGAAAGGCCAGCAGCGCTAGAGTTTGGACCTCGGACAAGGGGTGGCCGTGAGTTTCCCTGATGGTTCGATGAGCACCCCAGCCTGCCCATCCATCTCGTGCCCCTCAGACTCTAGACATCAAAACGCACACAAACGCTCGAAGTACGTAGTCCTGAACCCCCAATCTTCAGCAAGAAGCCAAGATCCCTAAACCCTAAACCCTAAACCCTCAACGAGACGTTCGTGCAACAGCGGCCGTCTTTCCCAGGCCCATGTCATCAGCGAGGATGCCGCTCAAACGATGGTCCACCAACCTCCCCATGGTGCATCATCTTGCGGCGGCATGCGACCGGTTTAGGGTTTAGGGTTTAGGGTTTGGGGTTTAGGGTTTAGGGTTTAGGGTTTAGGGTTAGTTTAAAACCCTCATGGCCGACGAAAGCAAGTACTGCCAAAAAAGGTCTTCTGGCTTTAGCTCTGGCATCTTCCTTCCTGCCTGATGTGCATGTGGAGAAACGGCAAGCACTTTGTGGCACTTAAGACGGCCTCTATACCATGCCTTTCTTCCCGCTATATCCTTCAAATAAAGAACCCTTGTACTTAAAAGGACCCTTATGCTTAAACCCCTATACCCTTTAAACTTTAAATTTAAGGACCTTCTGCTTCAACCCTCATATCTACCCTTATATTCCTTTAAATAAAGAACCCCTGTACTGAAAAGAACCCTAAACCCTAAACCCTAAACCCTAAACCCTAAACCCTAAACCCCCTTATGCTTAAACCCTCAGCCTGGCCAGCCAGCGCAGGCCCGCGAGCTGATGGGGCATCAGCTGCCCGTGCCTCATCAGAAACTCAGCTCAGCAGCGCGCAACATCCTGAACAGAAAAGGGCTCAGGGTTTAGGGTTTAGGGTTCAGGGTTTAGGGTTTAGGGTAAATATGAACATACCCTAACAAGCATATGGCAGCCCAGCAGGGAAGCAGAAGTACTGCGTACTGTGCAACCACTGGGTGATGAACGCAGAGTGCACCGAATACACCGGACAGTGCAAATCCCCGGCCGTACCGAAACTTGCCGGTGTCCAAGTCGCTGCAATGATCGGGGCTGCCCGACTTTCTCGTCCAGCCTGGGCTGACTTTGGTCCCTTGTTGCATCCGGGCTCCAAAGTCCCTTTGACCCTAAACCCTAAACCTTTTTCTTTTTCTCCAACAAGCCACGTACAGCAGCAGCCCTAGACCCCAATCCCTGAACCCTCAACCCGGATCCGCTCACCACTACCCAGAGCGCCTTGGAGAGAGCGGCCCGATCTCGGCCATGATGCGGTTCGTTTCCTCCAGGACCTCCTGCATCCGCTTGTCCTGCGCTCTTTAAGGCACTCTTGGTAGATGTCAAGTGGACATTCCTGGCACATGTGCAACGTGAGCACAACTGCAGCCTGATGGAAGCTATGCTATGCGCTCTCCTCCCATATCTCGTCAAAGGATTTGTCATGCAGTAGAGTGGGGCATTGGCATTGGGACCTAAACTCTAAACCCTAAACCCTAAACCCTAAACCACGAGAGGCCACAGTCGGACGTTGTTCAACCCGTCCTTCGTCTCCGACAGCAAGGCTTCGTATTGCTCCACCTCGTGTTTTGCATGGGACTCTGCCTTGGACCCCTGAGGCGGTACCCTTGGGTTCGGGGGCCCTTTTTGAGGATCCTTTGAGGGAATAGAAGGGCCATATTAGGTTCGGGGGCCCTTTTTCAGGATCCTTTAAGGGAATGTAAGGGCCGTATTAGGAGCTTGTTGAGGGAAACCTCTTAGGGTACAGCCTTCGGGGGTACGAGTCTTAACCCCTTGGGAGTTTCTTTGGCATGAGCCGTCACGAAGAGCAAAGCTCAATGGCGACAACGAGTTCCTGGCCTCAAGTAGGGTTCAGAATTTATCAAAATTTAGGGTTCGGAGTTTAGGGTTTTTGTGTGGGTTTAGGGTTTGGGGATGTTTCGGGTTTAGGGTTTGGGATTTAAGGTTTAGGGCGGCTTCTGAAACTTATGCCGATGCATGGAACTTCTTTTTTTCGGCCTAAGTCCGAGGAGCCCTGGACCCCACAGGCCAGAACCACGATCACACTTCCACCCTACTCGGCGGCTCTAGGGGTGGTGGGGGGGAGGGGAAGGCGCTTCGATACAAGGAGTCTTGACTCCTCTTGAGGGACCCTAAGCTGGTACCACCCTGAACCCCTGAGGCAGGCCCGAAAGCGGCGCAACGCCTGAATTGTTCAAAAACTCTCCGACAGTATTCTCCCAGTTTGTATCCTACGCATCTTGGCATGCTGGTCCGCAGTGACAGTATGCGTAACACCCCACCCAACCCCGAAACGCCCCTAAGCACTAACCCCTAAACACCCCTTCTCCAAGCGACTCCGCCCGCCTCGCCTAAACACCCCTAAACCCTAAACCCTGAACCCCAAACCCTAAACCCCAAACCCTAAACCCTAAACCCTATCCCCAAAACCCTAAACCCCCTAAACCCCCTAAACCCCCGAAAACCCCCGAAAACCCCCGAAACCCCCTACGCCCCTAAAGCCGACCTGCCCAGCCCGGAGCAACTCCAGGCGCCGCCGCGCAGCGCTGGCGCGCAGCTCTGCGGCCTGCTCAGGGTCTTTGGAGTTGGGTGTAGGGTTTCGGGTCTGAGGGTCTTAGGGTTTTAGGGTTCTAGGGTTTTAGGGTTTATGAGGGTTTTCGAACCAGGTCAGCAAAACCCGCACACAAGGGTTTTTTTGGCACCCGCATAGCCGCACAGACCGCTCCGAAGGGTCATACGGGTTTTGGACGATACTAGAGGAGCAGAAATGGGTGGTTCTTAACTACCGGCCTTTATCAGTCCTCGAGCTTCAACAAAGGGTTTGGAGGTCAGGGTTTGGGGGGCTTGGGCTTGTAGAGGGGTTTAGAGGGCTTGAGAGGGCCCATGGGGCCTGTGGGGCCTCTTGAGGCTTATAGGAATTACCAGGCTGGTCGAGGGGGCTTGTAGAGAGGGCTTTGTAGGCTTTTGGGGGCTTAATTATTCGGCTTCCACTCGCACACCCCGCGCGTCTGGTCGAATGACCAGGCTGAGGAAAAAACCTGAAAGCCTTTATGGGGTAGCGCTTCATCTTGGGTTCTGGTTCATGGGTGCTCATGTGTTTAGACTTGAGAGCTCTTTTTCAGCCTTGATGCCCCACAGCCTCAAATCTGTATTCGCTGGCCCTTGCAGAAACTCGCGACACATAACGCTGCACAACGAAGGTGCGCAGGACATGTCTGATTCCTCGAAGTTGCGCGCGCCTTCCGCCGCAGCGCCGGCCCGAACTCCGCGGCTTCCTCAGCCAGGCGCTTGAGGACCGTTCGGCGTGCCTGGCAGAGGAAGGCTCGGCGCTGTCTCTGGAATTCGAGCAACCGAGGGCGACTGCACAAAGAGCCAGCACATCACCGGGACTGTCACGCCAGAATCGGAAGAAGGTTTACGGGCAAGAGTTTGGGGGCTTCGGAGGCGTGAGTCGTGAGCAGCGCTCAATCCTGCTCAGACCCAAGAACCGGGTGCCTGCCTGCCGCTTCAACCAAAAAAGCTCCTGGGCCATAGGCACCTGTGGAATATTCAGGGATTGCAAGGGTTTGCATTCTCAGGGGGCTCAGGTGGGCAGAAGGCAATGGCAGCAGCCAATCTCATACACTGGTTGACAGAGTACTTTTAACTTTGAGATGGAGGATGTGTATGCGAAGGCAGCTTCAGTGTGCCAGAACCTTGCTCAATATAGACAGACTACCCTTATGACAGACGTCTCACGATCATGCTTGTGTGCATATCCCGTGTCCTGCACAAGTCAAGCCCTGCCTCGGCAATCAAGCGGCACCTTTCCGCAAGGCAGGGGCTCTGTCCAGCAGCCAGCAGCTGCTTGCAAAAAAAGGAGAAAGGTCGAGGTGACCACTGAACCCCCCTGTTGCAAAATCGAAGGCCTGGCGGCGTAGGTGGCTCCAGAGAGTCCAGGTAGCTTCTCGCCGTCATTCTCCTGTGAAGGAGGTTGACGCCACTACAAGGTGCCATGCGACATGAACTTCCGAACCAAGTGAAACACGAAAGAGCGACAGAGAGCAAACCGAGACAATGGCTGCCTCGCCGGAAGAGACGTCGATGGAATCCAGGTTGTGACTCTGGGGCGGGGCCATGGGTGAGAGAGACGCGAGCCTTGCGTGTTCTACCGGGTTGCAGGAGTTCGGTCTTGGACCGCTCACGACTGCGGCTCGAGGGATGAAGAAACCTGATAGCGAAGCTTCCACAACCCAAGGTACCTTTCGAATGCAATTCGCACTCGCTACAAGTACCGTGAGAAGTACAGTGGCTTGGTTCAAGGCAGATGGTTGCCCATTCATGCTCCTCTGAAAAGTTAAAACAAAGCATCTGCTGCAGGAACTACGCCCGACTAGACGTGAGCTAACGAATGCTAGACGGGCTAAGTACATGAAAGCATGCAGGCAAGCAGGGCAGCATGCGTGCAAGAGCCATTAGTCCGCTGCTAGACCCACAAACACTACTGGTAACTGGTTACTATGCTCCCTACACCAGTGACCGTTGCAGACTTGAGCTCGTCTCTAGCATACTTGACAAGGGCTCAGGGCAAACGTGCATGCAAGGAGGCATGCTGCAGGCCGGCTGAAGCAGAAAACGGCTAGTGACTTATCACGGCCAATGCTCGGCTCGTGCTTGCTCTGACAAAGCACAGGACACATGCAAGGCCCATGCCCAAAGAGCCCAATACCCCTTAATTAAGGAATATTCCTTAAACCATAATAAGGATCCCTTCATAAAATTGAGGATATTCCTTAATTTAGGGGTATTGGGCCCTCTGGGTACTGGAGGTTGATGCCTCGGCCCGGCATTGACGAAGAACCTTGGGGCCGTTCGCATCCTGCCGTTGTGGGCATCATCTGCCCAGGAACTCATGCTGACAACTGCTTGGAGGTTCAGGGTACTTATTATAACCCCAATATACCCCAATGATATCTGTACGAATGAGCGCCCTAAGTCCTCTAAGTAGGTTGTAAGTAGACTTATAATTGGGGTTCGAAGTACCCATGAACCTCCAAGTGCCCGTGGCCCCCCCCCCCAAAGTGTCAAAAGTTCCATCGTTCCAGTCCTTGAACTCCGCTAAGCGTCGTCGCAGCCAGGCCATGCACCTCTCGATTGCAAGATCTGACCTCGGCACTCCCTAAACCCCAAACCCTAAACCCTTTAAACCCTTTAAACCCTTTAAACCCTTTAAACCCTTCAAACCCTTTAGACCCTTTAAAACCTTTAAACCCTTTAAAACCCTAAACCCTAAACCCGAAGCCCTAAACCCTAAACCCTCAGCACTGTCATCCCCAAAAAGGCCGCTCCGAGGCGCTGCTCAAGACAGCTAGGTGCCAAGCAATGCGGGGTCCATTCCTGGCAGGCGTCAAGAATTTTGGTCTCGCCATGGCCCATCCCTAGAGAGCCCAGTACCCCTTAATTAAGGAATATACCTTATTTTTATGAAGGGATCCTTATTATGGTTTAAGGAATATTCCTAAATAAGGGGTATTGGACTCTTTGCGTCTATCACACCTTCCAAGAATGGCAGAGCTTGGTATCGGCTTGGTGGCCCTCAGAACTTTTCCTGTACCTCATTCACGCATGCCTGATGTCTAGGCCCGGACGTTGAGGAAGCCCATCTTAACTTTCCAGTTGGCGTGCAAACTTCTCAAAAGGTTAGCTGTAGCACGCCCAACGCAGCAAAGGTGTCACTGTCACTAACCTGCCAGCGCTTGCCGACGAAGGCCTGTCATGGAAAACTTCAGTCGCCAGCGATCACCCTCATACCACGTCTCAAAGGCGCGCCTGAGGAAGGCAACTGGGCAAAAAAAGGCCATATGCCGTGATATGAACCTACAAAAGTATTCTCATTAAGCCACTAGTATATATCTACGTTATTCCTATTCTATGATTAGCTCAAGTATATTCGGGTATGATTAAGTCCAACTAATTTCTTGTAGAAGATGTCTAATACCAGTGAATTCTAGAAAATAGCTTGCGACCTTGGGCCGGCCCAGACCCCTGCAACCCGAACAAGCCCTCTTGAAAAGGCCGGGGCTTGAGGGCTGACCGCTCTCGACTATTTGCTGAGGAACCCCCCTAAAAACATGTGAGATACTACTCCCCATATCTCCCCATTGTACAGCGCTTGTAAGGAAGCCGATTTTGGGGGACTGAGCACTTGTTTTTATTGTGTTTTCGGCGATTAAGTCATTAGAAGTTCTGAAGGCCCTAGTCCGCTTAGTCCGCTTAGCTGACGGACTTGGGGCAAACCGAGCTTTATTAACGGGCTCGCTGGTTCCGGCTGCCCCCCAACCACTCAGAGAGCCCTCGGTACCCCTTCATGACGGAAGAGACCTTAAATTGTAAAGGGATCCCTGAGTTATGATTTAAGGAATATCCCTCAATTAAGGGGCATAAAGGGCTCTTTGGGCATGATGGGAGGGTTTCGGGGTTTCGGTGCTTCTGAAGGCTGTCTCACAGTCTCCCCAGGCGAGAGTTGAGGCATTTTGGACCTCGGGGGTAGGGTTTAGGGTTTAGGGTTTAGGGTTTAGGGTTTAGGGTTTAGGGTTGAGGGTTGAGGGTTGAGGGTTTAGGGTTTAGGGTTTAGGGTTTATGGTTTTTGCTTTAGGGTTTAGGGTTTAGGGTTTAGGGTTTAGGGCTCCTTGTCAGCGCATGACTCCTGCCGCTTTGCAAGGCAGGCTGAGTGACGCGCTCAGCAGCCTTCTCGACGCGCTTCACCTTTGCCAGCGCTGTCCATGAAGTCAGTCATGTTGGATAACGATCGGCGGGCCGCCCGGGGAATTGTGAGAAACAACCCGGAAATTCTTCAGCGGCATCAATTTGTTTTTGGCCCCTCGGAATTGTGAAACCAGGCGACGCGAAATTTCGGCGAACGTTTTGACTTGTAGGGCTTAGGGCTTAGGGTTTGGGGTTGTCTAAAAAATCGCTTTTGACCAAAGCTCTGAGCCTGAGCAAAGGTTGGAGGGCCTGAGTCTTCTCAGTTCCTTTTCTACGAATTGCTTAAGAACCCAGAAAAAATTATAAAATATTCTTCCTTATGAAGGTTAATATAGGGATTATGATTTTTTTATTCATTTCGGGGTTCTTAAGCAAACAGTGGTTTTGAAAGCTCGCCAGATTCTCCCCCCCCCCCCCCCCCCCCGCTCCGGCACAAACTAAAACTCCCTCATTTTGCTGAGGGGAGGTTACACTAATCAGCATCCAACAGTCTTACCCTAGAAGAGGCTTGGAACTGCAGCTAGCTCCTTGTGCTGCTTCGGTAGCACATCGGGATCGCCAGAACACCGTTTCTGCTAGACCTTCCTACTCCACCACGGGCTAAGTTGCTCTGCACCTGACTGCTATGCTCCGAAGTTCCAGCGGAACCCTCAACCTCAACCTCAACCGCCTTTTCAAGCCTTAAAGCTGCAGCGAGACATAGCTCGAGCCCCAGGCAGTCCAGTACTCTTTGCCTCAGCGACCGACGGGTTGCAATCTCGACCGTCTCAGGTACACAACCCAAAGAGCCCTTCATACCCCTTTACTAGGGATTATACCCTTATACCCCTTAGTTTCCATGTGCGCATGAACGCGGCTCTGTGGGTGAAAGCCTTTTGCGGTCTGCATGCTGCGTGGTGTACCCTAAATCCTGAACCTTGTAATATAAGAATATTTTGCTAATATGATACTATTATACTATGCTTATGATATTTTGCTACCATTCTTAACAAGATCTGTGTCATCACGACCATCACTACCACCACAGAATGAACAACAGGGAACCGCTTCGGATTGTTGGGATTCTACACGAGCCTCGGAACCCTAAAGCCTAAAGGCCTAAACCCTAAACCTTAAACCCTGAACCCTAAACCCTTAAACCCAAGCAGAGTGTCAGCTGGAGCTCGCCCAGGGAACGTTTAGATGCCGATGCCTACGTACTACGAAGTTAATTACGTAGATTGAGTTTTTTAAAGGCAAACAAGACACTTCATGTTTAGCATTTCGCAAAAATTCAAACTACTGACATGTCTCTTCAAGCTTCTACATTGAATGTAAGTAAAAAGAACCAAACAAACATCAATGCAGTGACAAATCAGGTCAGCAATCTGGTATGGACTGCGATGAATCAACTGAGTGCGGAGCTTTCCTCTGCCTTTGGCCTCCCGGGCTACATAAATCAAGGCAGTGAGAAGCTAGCACTTGATGGTGCAGAACCCTCGACTGTATCCTGAACCCTGACCGACTGGACGGCGCTGGAAATTCTGGTCTTGGTCTGGTCTTGGGCGGAAAGAAGCGGGACAGGTGAGTGCAACCAGGAGGTTGCTGTCTTGTGTGAAGGTGTATCACTAAGCTTCGTCTTCTGCACTCTCATTGAGACCTCGCCTAGTGTCAGGATACTCTAGACATGCCACACCAGGCGGAAGTTCGCAGAACTCGTGCATCCTGCAGCCCGGCGCCTGACAGAGGTGCCTTGCTCGTCACCTGGATTCACCTCACGCAGAGGCTACATACCGTGCGCTAAGCCGGCTATTTTGTTGCCTAAAGACGACTTGAGGCAGCATGAGACAACACATTCACATGTGTCGCTTGAGCCATGTTAGGGATTAGGGTTTAGGGTTGAGGATTTAGGGTTTACGGTTCAGGGTTTAGGGCAACACCACATTGGACCTTACGGAAACGCAAACCGTGGCGCCTCCAGGGCCTTTGCCTCGCCATGAAGGTACGACAAGCTGTTGACTAAGCTTTGCATTTTTTCGGATCTTGCAAACAGGCATCCTACGTCTTCGGCTCCAGAACCACTTCCAAATACTACCCCAAAGAGCCCTTTATACCCGATTATCAAGGAATATTCCTTCAGTCATATTAAGCTATGAAGGATCCCTTGATAATTTTCGCTATATTCCCTTAAACCCTAAACCCTAAACCCTAAACCCTAAACCCTAAACCCTAAACCCTAAACCCTAAACCCTAAACCCACACATTCCTGCATCAAGGGGTACAAAGGGCTCCCTGGGACCCAGAAAGTTTTGCAGCCGTGGGGCGCCGGCCTTCGTCTCCGAGAGCATCTTTCGCTCCATCTTGCGGCAGACCTTAGGGTTTAGGGTTTAGGGTTTAGGGTTTAGGGTTTAGGGTTTAGGGTTTAGGGTTTAGGGTTTCGGGTTTACTGCAGGATCACAAGGATGCAGCAAAGTGAGGCGCGTGCCGATTGCAGCATCGAGGATAGATTCCGGCCTAGCTGCTGGAAGAAACCGCAACGGATGCGTAGAGATCAGTGTATGCACGTTGTCTCCATAAATTTACCTTACACTCTCAGCCATGAGTATCTACTGAAATGATCTGAAATGGCTGATTGGTTCACTTGTAAAGGCGGCGAGAGGAGCGGAGAGAACGCCATCACAGGGAGGCCCCAGCCCCCAGCCTTCACAAATAATTTGCAAGCCCCTGCTTCCGACTCGGGACGCATCCGCCGAGCAGACATCGTCTGCACTGAGGGGAGAGACTTATGGTGACGCTCGGGAACGTCAGACTTTCAACATACGAGCCTCAACAAAACAAACTCTGTAAAAGCTGGTGCCATCCCGGTAAGATGACTTACTGCTTCCACCAGCCCCCTGAGATACCACACTCTAGGATGCGTGCTAGGATAGCGCTGCCGCCAGTCCTCCGCGTCGTCACCCCACGCACGGCGGCCCTCGCGACCCAGATTTCCAGCACCCGCCCAAAAACTCAGGAAGCGTCTGCCCCAGGGCACACCAGGGCCTTCTCATTGCAGCGGAGGAAGCTCAGATGTCCGTTGTGCAAGTCTGCAGCCTCCAGGCTCGTGTTGGTGACACTGGCATGGTGAAAGGCTCTTACCACCCATCCAAGAAACTTGTATTGCGACCTGCTTGGTGGCAGGCTCCCCTCCAAAGTCGTTGCAATGGAACTCTCCAGAAAGAGTGGGCAGTGAACTCGCAAGACTGTCCAGTCAGAGAGGCCTGGATAGACACGGTCTTGCCAGACGGCCTCGTCATCTGCCAGGTGCGCGAGCTGCTCCAGCAGCGCTCGCTGCGCAGGCTGAAGCGTTGGCTTGCGCCACAGGTTCTTCACGCCCCCGCCTCGACCCCGGACGCCAACGTGATTTGCGCGGCTCGACGATCCAGGGCTCCTCGAAGACGTGCCACAGGCTCGAGTTCATAGCCAGCGCCCTTGTGGTGACGCCCTCCCCCAAGCTGCACCAATACGAAGGGCTCTCGCCGAAGCCTTTGCGAGCCGTTTCCGAAAGAATCTTCGTGAAGTTGCGGGGCAGGTCAAGGAGTTGAAATGGCATGTCGCGTCTCGTGGTGAGGCTGCCAGCGGCGATGCTCGGAACTCTCGTCGATGCTTCAGAACCAGCGAGACATCCTCCAGAAAGACGTAGTCCCCGGCATCGACGAAGACCAATAATGCCACGTCCGGGCGGTGCCTGAAGAGCTCGTGAACAAAGAGCCGGATGAAGGCCGGAATCCCCGAGAAGTTTTGTTTGTCCAGAGTCCATCTAGGTATCAATCTACTGGCTGCCGCACACCTTCAGAGACTTCGCAACACAGCTTACTCAAGTCTTCAGCTATACGGTCTAGGGGTGAAGGTCGGAAGCAGAGAGTGAAGAAGCAAGACCTCCATTCTGCATGATCGGGGATAGACCGATGGTAACCAGGATATACATGAGCTTACTATTTCGATTAACCCTATTACTATTACTCTTACTCTCACTATTACTTTCTTCCTCAGGCGCCAGCATTCTCCTCCCTGGGCCTCCACCAGCTCTTCCACCTTCTGAAGGACCTTGCAGAAAGCGCAGGCGTGCAACATCCAGAGCTCTGTGCCATTTTTGCAACCTCACCTCGACCCTCGAATGCTCCAAGATACCTCTGCTCCGTATAGAGTAGAGTGCCAATACCTACTGGGGCACTCTACGGCACCCCCTCCGGCGACACGGATTCCTACAAAACCTGCGAGGTTTGCGAATCGCACCCCCCTGTTCCTGCGAGACCTGAAGACCACACTGAAACCATGTCTCAGTCTCTCACACCATCTTGATCCTTGACACCTCTCAACTCAGCTAACCCTTTTGCAACGAGCTTGGCTATGCTCCCGCCCGGCTTGGCTGTCCCAATCCCCTGTACTCGTGACAGGGTCTCGGCGACGACTCAGACACTTAGAGAGTCGAGTCTCTCAGCAACTTTTCTTGAGACCTGATTAAATGAGCATACTAATCGGAACTTATCGAAAGCTATTTTGTGGACTTCAAAGACGTCGGTGATGTGTGCTTCCAACTCTTCCCTAGCTAACCCTAAATCCTGAACCCTAAACCCCTGCAAGCTCCGAAGCTCAGGCTCCTCCTTAGTTTTGCAGTTCGGAGCAGCCGCTCCCAAAAGCTGCGACCCTAAGAACAGCAAGAGCCCCTAAAGTCCCTCAGCCCTGTAAAAGCACCCCCCCTTTTTGTTGGAACTGGGCTGCTGAGAAACAAAAAAAAACCCGCAAAAATCCTAACGCCCCCCCCCCACCCCCCCCCCCACCCCCCCCCCCCCCCCCCCCCCCCCCCCCCCCCCACCCCCCCCCCCACCCCCCCACCCCCCCCCACCTCCCCCCCACCCCCCCACCCCCCCCCCACCCCACCCCCACCCCCCCCCCACCCCCCCCCACCCCCCCCCCCCCCCCCCCCACCCCCCCCCCCCCCCCCACCCCCCCCCCCACCCCCCCCCCCACCCCCCCCCCCCCCCTCAAAACAACAAACTGAACCAAAAAAAACAAATGAAAAAAACTAAAGCTCCCCCTTGGGAGGCACCTCGAGAGCCTTGGCGGCCTCCAAGGAGCCCAAGGACTTCAAGGCGCGATCGTCCAGTTCGCTACTGCGGCCAGGGTTTAGGGTTTAGGGTTTAGGGTTTAGGGTTTGGGGTTTGGGGTTTAGGGTTTAGGGTTTGGGGTTTAGGGTTTAGGGTTTAGGGTTTAGGGCTTAGGTTTAGGAAGGTTTAAAGTTGCTTGGGGACTGTTTTTTGGCACCCGGTTTAGGGTTGAGGGATCTTGGGCTTAGGGTTTAGGGTTCTATGTGGCAATCTAGGGCTTTTTCTGCTGGGTTTTCTGTTGTTTATTCGGATATGAGGGAGTAAGCATGCAGTGCTTATATGTGTAGAAATGACTTTGGTTGCAATATTTTCTAGATGAACAAGACGACAGCCGTCTACATGCGAAGACGGCAATACCTTCTATAAATACACACACACATGCAAAATATATATATATATATATATATATATATATAATAGATGGGTAAGAAGAGAGTACACTGCGCTGTGGCTTAACTACTGTGCTTCCAAGAAGGGTTTCGGGTACGAAGTCTTGAGGCCCTCATCCTGCCTCCTGACACAGGGCAACATGAGCTATGATCCAATTGGTCCCGTGAATCGTCTCCTGGCTACTCGTTTGCTTGATGCCTGTTGCCTGTTGCAATACGCCTCCAACGACGGAAATCGCTCCAACAGGCAGGTCAGATTCCCCATGCGCCGGCAACCAGTTGCCCGTTGAAGCTGTGCCTGGTACTGGTTTGCAACACCTCCAAGCGACTCTTCACCTGCATTCAAACGCCAAACCACTGCTCGCTTAGCCGCACAACTGCACGGTTCATGCGCTGGCCGAGACATGTCATGACTTGACGTTCGACTCGCGACGAACGGGCGGACACACTTGCACCACCACTGCAACAACTCTTACTCGCTGCAGCTGCTGCCTCGGGATCTGAAAGAGAGTCTGCCTTAGTTTTCCCAGCTAGGCACCGTGACGACCCGTTCATCAACGGCATGTGCGTGCAACCCGGCGTGCTGAACGGCCAGGAGCAGCAAATGCACGAGCAATGTCTTTTGCAGCGTGCCTTGGGAGCTTGTGTTTGATAGCCTTACAGAAATGGGGCTGATATCCTTCCTCCGGCTTGCAGACTGCGACCCGTATCTGGGCTTGTATGCTGAGTCCATGTCCCCCTCGTCTTCATTGCCTGAGTGCGCCATGACATCCACCCATATCCACTCCACTGTGTTTGCGTGCTCTCTACTGGTACCCTGTCTTCCTTACGACATCAGCTCACTTGGCGCCGCACCAGTTTGTTCAGATGTGCCCTGCGGAATCCAGGGCTCAGAATTGTGGCGCCACTCCCAGGGGGGTTTTGGAGCTTATAGAGTATACTGGGAGGTTCATGGGTACTGATAACCCCAAATTTATCAAGCCCCTTAACGGTCTTACGTCCTCTAAGTAGGTTAGGACTAGGACTGATACGTGGGGTTTCAAGTACCCATGAACCTCCAAGCACAGGGTCAAGTCCACAAGCCACGCAGCCTCTGAGCCGGTACGCACCTTCGCATGAGGGAACATCGCCTGCCATGGGCAGGTTTCTTCCAGCAGACCCATACCATACTCATCAAGGATGAATAACATCGCTCACACTCGGACACGCCAGAGGCACACGAATCAAGGTTTAGGGCTTAGGGTCTTTCAGGGGTTTAGGGTTACCAATCATGAAAATGCAAGCAAAAGATGAGAATAACTTTTGCTTTCAGGGGGCGCTCCAGGATGCTCGGTGGCCCTCTTGCCGGAATTCAGACCCAGGCCAGGAGTAAGGGCGAGGAGAATGGGGGACTTACAATGTAAATGAATATAACAACCCTTACGGTTTAAGGTGGCATTGCACTCGGGTTGGGATAAGGCCACAGCACTTGCTGGTGCATGCCTTCAGCGTCGAAGCTACATCTCCTGAACAAGGATGCGCAGGGCGGTGAAGGTTTCTGCCGCTTCCAGGTCGCGACGGTTAGGCGTGTAGGCTGCCACATTCAAAACAACGTGGCCCCGCTGCATTTGCCAATGCTCTTCATGCAAAGGGTCAACAGCACTCGAGCACCAGTCTCCTTCTTCGATCTCTTCCTCAGAGCCCAGAGGAAGTGTAAAAAAGGTTGGTTGCAATTTGGCGCAGGTCGGTCTCAGCACAAGATGTAGAAAGGCCATGAACGGCCAAGCGAGAATGAAACCGCCTAGCCTCATCACGACCTCACTCTTGCTGCCCAGCCTGGCACATACTCTGTTTCCATACGCCCGAAAAGCCACCAAGGTCTCTGCCAATCCAGGTGGTCGTCGCAGTGGCTCATCCAGCGGCCTACAGGTGTTGTCAGCATAGGTGTACAGTTGGCAAGCAGTGCTGAAGCACATGCGCGCCGTTCCTTGAACCATCGTCTCTGTTGACGTTGCTACTCTTATACAGAGCCTGATTTTCAGAGTTCCCGAGAGAGGCCCAGAATTTAGATAAAAATTGTGATCAATGACCAGACCCAGCATGTTGTGGGAAAGGATCAGCTTGACCTGTGACATAGAGGCCCGCACTGGCTTTCCAAGATTCAGACGATGGTCCTGTTTCAAACAATATCATGTCAAACCGCGATTTCCCGGCCTCCCAACCCTAAACCCTAAACCCTAAACCCCAAACCCCAAACCCCAAACCCCAAACCCCAAACCCCAAACCCTAAACCCTAAACCCTAGACCCGTACCACAAGGGTGTACGGTGCAAACCTCTACCGGCTTCTCAAGCCGCTAGTGCCATGTGCCGCTGCGTCCGCAACACTGCCCTGCAGGACGAGGCCCCTGCATGTCGGAAGATCCAGAGGCCTTGGGTTTAGGGTTTAGGGTTTAGGGTTTAGGGTTTAGGGTTTAGGGTTTAGGGTTTAGGGTTTAGGGTTTAGGGTTTAGGGTTTAGGGTTTAGGGTTGCATGTTTGCCGTTAGGCTGGCTTTGGCTGCCATGCAGCTTCTTTGGTGGATACACCACGTAAATCAGACCCAGACAGAACACCCGGCAAGAACCAATGGCGAGTTCTTGGCGGGATGTCGCCACAGCTTCTGCGGCCAGCTAGTGAGCTAAGCATGAAGTAGCAGCATCCAGATCGACTTGCTACCCGCGTAGACGCACAAACATTCTGAGACCTTGTGCATCAGCGTACGAGCGCCTTGCAGCACTCAATGCCCGTGGGCATTCGCAGCACAGGATCGCAAGACCCTAAACCCTAAAACCTCCAGCCCTAAACCCTAAACCCTAAACCCTTTTGCTTCAGGGAAACCCTAAACCCTAAACCCCTAAACCTGAAACCCTACAAGCATCTGAAGGAAGCTGAAGTCTCAGGACCCAGCTCCCGAACCTGCAGCGGAAACTTGGACATGACGCCCGAGAAGTATATGAAGTAGGGTTTAGGGTTTAGGGTAATCTCCTCCCCCTAAAAAAAAACCCTACCCCCCTAATATTAAATATCCACCCATTATAGTTCTATTATCATATATTTGGGGATTTTAATATTAGAGGGCAGGGGGGGGGGTTAATATTAGGGGCAGGGGATTATACTTCTTGTACCCCCAAGAGGACGCCTAATATATACACTCACCAATAACAGTAATAGCAACCCTGTTTCATATGGTCCCTTTTTTGGGGCTCTCCATTCGTCATACGGAGTATGTAGGGAGAACATTACACCAAAAAGGGCACGTCATACTTTGAGAACCGCCCACAGCAACCATGGACCTAGGGACAGCCTGAAGCTTGCCCTAGGTTGACCAGTAACCTACGGTTGAAAAAGGGTGCCCTTTTTTTGCTTAAAGGGCTTATGAGGGAACCTAAACCCCCTCAACAAGGGAATCCTAGTTCCCAAAAAGCCCAGTGCCCTTGATTAAGGAATATTCCTTACATCGCATTAAGGACCCCTTTATAGACCCTAAACCCTAAACCCGAAACCCTAAACCCTAAACCGTGGCTCTTGTATTCCTTAATTAAGGAGCGTTGGGCTCTCAGGGTTCCTCCAGGTTATGGCAGCATGAGCCTCGTCTTGGATTGCCGCTGCCTTTCCAAGCCTGCAATGGCTTTGAAGCACCCTAAACCCTAAACCCTAACCCCTAACCCCTAAACCCCTAAACCCTAACACCGTAACGCCCTAACACCCGGCAGGCAACTGCGCATGATGACCCTTGACCCTGCAACGAGCGCTTGGGATCGGAAACGTCCAATGCAAGACTCGGCAGAAACAGCGATTCTGCAAGGCCACTTACCTAACACTACTAGTTGCTTAAGAACCCCTAAAAAATGATACATAAAAACCCCTATATAACCCTTATAAGGAAGAACATGTTTTTCTTTTTGGGGGGTTCTTAAGCAATTGGTAGAAAAAGAAATCATGGACCAAATCTCTTCAAGGGCCTGCCTGCCGGGTGCACAAAACTCGCCGCACAAGCTCATGCATATGGGCCCTTTTTGCATCCAGGCTTGGGTGAGCGTGCCGGGAAAGAGCATATGGGCCCTAAACCCTAAAACCCTAAAAAACCCTAAACCCTAAACCCTTAACCCTATAAGCCCTAAGCCCGGCCTGTGTCTCCCAAACATCCTTGGCAGTCATGAAGGTCGGCGGCGTGTCTTCCCTCAGCAGCAGAAAGGGGATCAGGCGTGTGGCCTTGTATGCGGCATGTACGAGTAGCTCAGGTGGTTTCTCAACAAATTTGCAGCAAGAATCGGCAACAACTCAGCGAATGGTTAAACTCAAGATGCATGGAAGATGATGGCATCTCCTCATGACAGCACCATCTGACCTTATGGGTCCCAAAGCGGCTAAGTTGCACTACCTTGTCTACAGCCAGGAGTTGAACGAAACGGGCCCAACAAAACAAAGCTCCATGACATGCTAACTAAGGCTGCTAAGGCGGAGGGGACGGCACCCCTTGGATTCCTGCTCGAACTGCGCTTTCTGGAGTAATTACTAACCCCTAAACCCTAAACCCTGAAACTTGTGCAGTACTGGGGAGGGCCCACTCAGGGGGCATCTCCTTCAGGAGCTGTTCCATCTTGTCATCCACCTCGTCCGGTCCGGCGAGACTTGCCGGATTAGTTTAGGGTTTATGGTTTATGGTTTGGGTTTAGGGTTTCGTCGCTCACGCTCGCACAAGGCAGGCAAGGAGGGTTTTTTTGCCACCCGCCTAGCAGACCCCCACTGGGATCACAAGGAGGGTTTAGGGTTTAGGGTTTAGGAGGGTTTAGGGTCTCACACTCGGACAAGCCAGGCGAGGTACCCACTATTCCATGGTCTCGTTAGGCCCTGCCCAGCACATCTGGCCAAGTCGGGTATCGGTGATACTCAACAGCGTTTAGGGTTTAGGGTTTAGGGGTCATGTGACAACTTTTCTTTTGGCTAAGTCTTCTGACCTTCGGTTCCTCAAAGATGTGGCACAACTCCACCCAATTAGTTCAACATCACTCTTGAAACACACACCGTGGCAAATAAACACTGCTTACGCCAGTGGCTCTAAAATACAACGCATAAACAAAGCTACGTCCCCAGCTGGGTTCAAGACAGGTCACAAAACAATGCAACTAGAATCTTAGGCAAAATACGCTTCTCGATGAGACAAGCTATACTGATGCAAGCACTTGGAAGCACGCACGCGCACGCGCCCACACCTGCACCAGCACCCAGACACATGGGCACGCACGTGTGCGCACGAGCGTGCACGCACGCACGCACGCACACACAGAAAAGAACTATGAAAAGGAAATGTGTATCGGCAGATTGGGTCCTGTCTGGCATCTGCATCTAATCTTGCTGCCTCAGGGGGCCAGCTTTGCAGGTACACAGTTCAGCGTCCTGAACTACTTCCAACTCCAAGGCATAGTTTCATTGCATTGGGTTTGCCAAGGAGTGCCCAATGCCCCTGCTCAAAAGAAGAACTGAGGTCGACTGTGATTGAAGCCCTTGGTTACAGGGTTGGACACACACAAGAAAACCATGAAGGCCAAAGCTTGCATGTCGACTGTGCTGTGCTTGTGTATCTTCTTCAAATGTTTTTTTCCTGTACCGGGCGTGCATAAGCCAAGAGGGCTCCACTGCTCTTCGAAGACACACTTACACACGCGCGCGTGCATAAGCCGAGAGGGCTGCGTTTCACTAAATGAAAATATATAGCTGTCGCGTGCATAAGCCGAGAATAGCCGAGAGGGCTGCACAGCGTTCCAAAGATACGTCAACACCTGATGGCTGCAAGAGGGTAAGTCAAGAAGACCTGTGATTTGCAACAATAATTATCCGCACTCGATTTGCAACAATGTCCGCGCCTGACTACTACAGCAAAACGAACATCATCAACGGCCCTGCAACATCATCCAAGTCTGCAGAATGGGTCCCTGCTTCATCATGACAAAAACTGCAGGATACTGCACAGGCCACCCCGCCGCAGGCAGCACTCTGAAAGACGTAGGGACGAGCCCTACACTGCCTGGACCACACTTAGGTAACCGTCCTGACAGCCAATGCTGGTACCTCCGGTCTGCGAGCCACATCAGCTTAGACAGGCTAAGCGTGTTGTCACTGAAGTACATCTTGCTCCTGAATACCTCTGATGTTTCAAACAGGTGTTGACATTGAAGAGAACTATGACAAGGAAATTTGTCTCGGCAGATTGTTCTGCCTTTTGCATCTAATCTTGCTGCCTGAGGGGGCCAGCTTTGCAGCTGCACAGTTCAGCTTCCTGAACTGCTTCCCACTCCAAGGCATATCTTCTTTGCATTGGGTTTGTCACACATACACACGTACACACATACACACATACACACATACCCACATACACACATACACACATACACACCCGCGCGAGTGAACAGTCGGCCGTCTCTGTCCCACGGCTTTGAGGCACCAAAGAACAGAACCTAAAACATCAATTGGAAGTGTCGAAGTTTTGGTGAGATTTGACTGGAGCCTACAGACACCAACGCACGGTAACTGATCACAGTTCCTTTATCGCGGGATACAAGCCTTCGTCACAGAACAAACGATTGTTTGCGGAATTTTCGCATGCCTCACATCCTGAATGTTTCCTGAACTGTTCTCTCTGACACACCAACATGCTATTCCTCAGCGTGATTGATTTGGGAGACGTGTCCGATAAAGAGTGTACTTGTAGTGTGCAAAAGTCATCCGAGTTCTTAGCAATCTACACCTCTATGGTCCTTTTTGACATCTGAGCATTGCCACCGCTCCAAACAGCCGTTTGGGCAGATGTGGGCAGCCGCTGCTGAAAACACGTGGCACGACGCACTCGAGAGTCGCAGATGCTTTAAAATGCGAACTCGGGCCCTGTGTGCAGGTCGGTGTCCCAGGTTTCATAAATGGGCCCGGAAGTAGCTTTGGCTGCATGAGTTTCAGCAGAAGACGCGAAGAGCGCTTCTTTCATCTCCAATACCAAGTCAGACCACTGTCAAGGGCAGCACGCAGCCAAAGCTCGAGCGATCATGCGTGCAACCACATCATACCACATCTACAGACTGGGATGTTCCCCCTTATACTAACAGTCCTGAAATAGGGACTATAATAGGGGTACTATAATCCCTATTAAGGACTGTTCGTCTTAGGGGGAACATCCCAATCTGCACAAATGGTGCATCGCTCGGATCACATTAACAGCTGCTGGGCTTCGCCCAGTCCAGGTACTCACCTCTACGACATGAGGGCATAGGGACGGACGATATCGCTGCGTGAGCGAGTACGTCACATCCCTAGCAGACGCGATTGCGCCTGCACGGGCGACCTGAGATTTTACGAGCCCCTCAAGGTACTCACCTCTACGACATGAGGGCAACGGACGATATCGCTGCGTGAGCGAGTACGTCACATCCCCTGGGAGACGCGATTGCGCCTGCACGGGGCGACCTGACAGGTTACGAGCCCCTCAGGACTTCGATGGTACCTATAGTGAAGAATGTTTCATACCCTGTACATTCTTGCAAAAAAAGCACACATTATGCTGCCATTGATGAGGTCTCATACCCTGTTGCTCTGGCACCTAGCCGCTGGCCATCCTAAACCCTCTCAGGCATTTCAATGGCTCGCATGTCCCGCGCCGGAGCTGCAATCCTCAGCCTTTGAGGCTTTGTGCGCGTGAATTTGAGGCGACAAGCCAAAGACGACTAACATGTACAGCTTGAAGCTTCTGCCACATCGTGCTTTCTGGGAAGTATCTACCCAACTTCTGATCCTGGAGCACTGGACTGGTTTATTTAGGCTGGCACAGTACCCACATACTGTGAGTTCAAAAGTCCGTCGCCAAGAGTCCAAGCGACCTCCCCATGCACCGTTCCCCCCATGCACCCAGCTGCCTCAGGCAGCACAGGGAAGTCACAGCCGCTGCAGCCAACGCCAAGATGCCAAAGGACCTGTGGCGATTCCCAGAGAGCCCAATACCCCTGAATTAAGGAACATACCTTAAACTATAAAGGGATCCTGATTATAATTTAAGGTATATTCCTTAATTAAGGGGTATTGGGCTCTTTAGGATCTAGCCGCCATCACAAAACTGGCCCATGCCATGGGGCAGCTCTCCCCAGTTCGCTTTGCCTGAGGCCCTTGAACGGAAGTCTGTCCGTGTGAAGCTCACTCCTTCACCCTTGAGGCCCAAGCAAACCTTGTTAAACCCTAAACCCTAAACCCTAAACCCTAAACCGACAGTCACCAGAGAGAGGCCTTGGACAAAAGGGTCGTGCTGCACTTCGAATCGCCCAGCTTGCACGATAGATCCCCGAATCCCACATCGTCACCGCATGCCCCGCAGAGGCACGCGCAACATGACATGCATTCTTAAGACAAAGTATCTTGCGCGCTCGGCGGACATCAGCAGACAAGCAGGCAGACTGGCATGCGAAATTCGACACTGGAGCGAATGAAACATGGCCAGAACAATCTGCAAAAACAACTTGAAACAACCATGAAGTTCGCAGCGCGCCTGAGTGGATGCGTGCGGCTCGTGTAGAAAGGGGACCTCCAAGCCTGAGTCCCCCAACACAACACAGGACCAGCACTTTTCACACGAGGAGTTCTACATCACGCACGTGCGAAGCTTGTGAGACATACTTGGAGCGCTCTTTACGACTCGAACAAGTTCTGTTCGCCCCGCAAATTTCTTCCCAAATGCTGTAGTTGTGGTGGTTGTTGTAGAGGTCGTCGTGCTGGTCGACGTCAGACATGTCGTAGTATGGCCCAGGACGGTATCTCGGATGTCGGTCGCAATGCCTGGGAATTTTGCCGAGCCCCGTCGCTTCAGAACCCTAAACCCTTCTTGCAACTGGGCTTGAGGACTGCCAATCCAGGTCGACCTCAATCTTGTTGACTGAGGCCCCACATGCACTCCAAGCATACTTAAGATACCAGAGCCCACATGTGTGATATCCAAAAGGAGGTCGTGTACAAAGGTTCAAGAAGTTCAGTCGGGTGAGGTGTCCGCACCTTGATGCATTTCACTTTAGCCCGCTGCTGATATCCTCCCTTATCTCCCTTCACGCTCAGCCCTGCGGGCTTGTGTGCTTGCCAGCTTGCACCCATGATGTTGTTCACGAAGGAGGCTTCAAGAGAACAGGAAGGCTTTATGTATAGGCTGAGGTCCAGGTTGCAAGGACGACTTGGCGTGGCAGTTTCAAGGACACATGTGAAGCCGAAACCTGAACCCGAAACTCCAACATTCGTCAACTACCAGCAGGGTCGGGGTATCTGGAAGGTTGTAAGAAGAGCGGTGCTCAATGCGGCCATCAGACCCGCCAAAGCATGCATCATCTCTGCGTCGCGAAAGACGGATGAGTGCGCGACCTTGCCACATCTTGTATCAGAAGGCAACACGCACCGACTTCACGCTGCAACGAAATCTGTGCAGTAGCAACCCTTTGCTTGTCAATCAGTTTCTTGCAATTTGACGACTGCCGAACCCTCGATCAAACTTGTTTGGATGGCGATCTGTTCGTCATGTCAGACCTGCAGTGCATCCCCGAAAATCGAAGACTTGACTTTGATTCGCATGGCCGGCGTCAAGAACAGAAAAAT